AGTAAATTTTTTTTAACAAAACAATTACTAATTTTTCAATACCTAACATAATGTAATTATAAATAATAAGAAAAATTATGAAGGTCTTGTTAAATGGTCTCTTTGAATTCATACTGTTTTTTTAGATGAACAAACATGATTGAAGAATCTTTCGCGTGGGACTTTGGTAATTCATGTCAATTATGCCTGAAGCAGCAAGAAATGATACTGAGCTCAAAACTTTTCTGTTTCGACAACATTAAATGAAAAAAAAAAAACATTTATAGCGCATAAAAAATTCACATATACGCAGAAATTAATAGATTTTAATATAAATAAAGTTTTTTACTATTAATAAAAAACTGCCAAATAGGTTATGAATAAAATAAAATGGGATTTAATCGGAAAATTAATAGGATGGGTTATTTTCAAGCGTACTCCTCATCTACTCCCCTAATAAAATTCATAAAAACTGAAATTAATTATCCATTCCCTAAGGAGATCGTATACTGAGAAAAAAATATGGTAAAAATTACCATAATATGCAAACATTTACCGTGTTTCTGGCTCTATGGGAATACCAAAAAGCTCTGTAATATTTACCGAAGTACTTTGGTAATGATTTTAGTAAAATTAACAATGAAATATGATTTCATAATATGAGATAAAATTTGATAAATGTTAAATTTGGTAATTTTATTATGATATTATCTTAGAACATGGCACATAAACCATTTATTCGGATGATGATTGTTACATGATGGTTGCTACGCTTAAATGAAGTATAGTGAGAGGTAATTAACGATTAAATTTTATTTAAAAGTAGCAAAAATTTCAAAAAAATTTCATTTTGAAGTTGAAAATGCAGCTTTGAGTCCCGCAGGAAGTATATACCCATGCATGAGAGCCACCATAATTGTAAATTGTTTCTACATATAAGTTGAAGGGCATATAAAGCTTTGAGCTTAAGGTCACAATAGCGGTTTTGTAAAAATGCAATAAATCTGGACAAGAGCACTGTTCAGTTTCACAAATAACAAAAGAGTACTGTTCAGTTTCACAAATAACAAAAAAGTACCATTCAGTTTCACAAATAACAAAAGAGCATTGTTCAGATTGAGAAAAGTAAGGTGTCAAGATAAAAACTAAACCCAACTTACCATTATCTCTGTTATCTGTAAGCCNTAATTCTGAAACGTTCTTGCCGATTCCTAGGCAACGTAAATTCAACTAAATCTTGTAAAATGCACTATTTAGGATCTTTTTACTAAAAAAAAAAAAAAAAAAAAAANAAAAAAAAAAAAAAAAAAAAAAAAAAAAAAAAAAAAAAAAAAAAAAAAGCGAACTGGTGGAACATATATTTTCTTTCAAAAACTTTGAGTGTAATCATAATCATTCTAAACATAAGTGTTGTTTTAACGAATGTTTCATTGTTGTTCTTTAAATAACTTCAACATTTTGTGACACTCCCTTTCAACTTTTTATTGCATTTCGTTTAAAATTTAGATTATAGTAAGATTTATCTATTTAATTGACGTTATTTAATTGCAAATAAGAAAAAAGCATTATAAAGGTCATGCTAAATACTTTCTTTGAATCCCCATTGTCATCTGGGCTGAACAAGTATGTGAACCCTTCGTGGGTGGCGCTGATATTTTTTGCAGCCAGAAATGCTGCTAAACACGAAATTTTTTAATTAACTTTAGAATGCCGTGGGGACTCAGGGGATATAGCCTTCCAATGAGGTGAACTGAGTTCGAATCTCAGCGTCAGTGGTAGACGAATCATGGGTTAGAGTCCCCTTGCCATCAGGATAACCGTGGGAGATTTCTGTGGTTTTCCTCTCCATGCGAGTTAATACGAGTTTGTTCCATCAAAAAGTCTACCACGGAGGCAGCTTTCTCTCAATACTCGATCCAGGAGTTCTTGTGTCATGCGGATTGGGTTCAAAATTACATTAACATTAGTAGTCGTAAAGCTAAAATTTGGTCGGCTGTTCAACGAAGGATATAAAATGAAAAAAACTTAGCTTTGGATTTTAGAAGAACAAAAAAAATTACTATGCATAAAAAATAAATAAATACACAGAAATTAGTAAAAATCACAACCATTAATTTTTTTTTACAAAACAATTACTAATTTTTCAATAACTAACATAATGTAATTATAAATAATAAAAAAAAATTATGAAGGCCTTGTTAATTGGTCTCTTTGAATTCATACCGTTTTTTTTAGATGAACAAACATGATTGAAGAATCTTTCGCGTGGGACTTTGGTAATTCACGTCAATTATGCCTGAAGCAGCAAGAAATGATACTGAGCTCAAAACTTTTTCTGTTTATACAACAAATGAAAAAAAAAACATTTACAGCGCATAAAAAATTCACAAATACGCAGAAATTCATAGATTTTAATATAAATAAAGTTTTTTATTATTAATAAAAAAGTGCCAAATAGGCTATGAATAAAATAAAATGGGATTTAATCGGAAAATTACTCGGAAAGTTTTTTATTATTAATAAAAAAGTGCCAAATAGGCTATGAATAAAATAAAATGGGATTTAATCGGAAAATTACGAGGATGGGTTATTTCAAGCGTACGCCTCATCTACTTCCCTAATAAAATTCATAAAAACTGAAAATAATTATCCATTCCCTATGGAGATCGTATACTGAGAAAAAAATATGGTAAAAATTATCATAATATGCAAAAATTTACCGTGTTTCTGGCTCTATGGGATGATAATGAGGGCTTTGGTAATGATTTTAGTAAAATTAACAATGAAATATGATTTCATAATATGAGATAAAATTTGATAAATGTTAAATTTGGCACATAACATTGCACAAAACCATTTATTCGAGTGATGATTGTTACATGATGGTTGTTACGCTTAAATGAAGTATAATGAGAAGTAATTAACGATTAAATTTTATTTAAAAGTAGCCAAAATTTCAGCAGAATTTCATTTTGAAATCGGAAATGCAGCTTTGAGTCCCGCAGGAAGTATATATCCATACATGAGAGCCATCATAATTGTAAATTGTTTCTGCATATAAGTTGAACAGCATATAAAGTTTTGAGCGTAAGGTCATAATAGCGGTTTTGTAAAAATGCAATAAATCTNGATTACTATGACATTTTTATTATCATTGTTAATTTGTTTTGAATATTTAGTATAAAATATAGATATCCTTGAGTAGAGTATTTTTTCATATTTTATGATCACTGCTAGTTCATTTTGATCGTAAATGAGTAATGAATAAAAATTAATTTGATTTTTTTAAACCTTATTGAATTAATTTTTTAACTTTATTGAATATTGTTTTTTTTTAAAAAGGAAATTTTTAGCTCTTTTTATTATTCTGTGGTTACTGCTGTTTGGAAAAAAAATTCAATCGCTTATAAAATAATATTTGGGTTAATACAAGTCCGGTGACTTTGAGAAGAAATAATTTTTTGAAACAACGAGATGGTAAAATTTAAAATGCGAGAGAATTTTTGTTGAATTTGATACGGGTAATTTTAAGCACTTAAACGTCATTTTACATTTTATATTGGACCATAAAGTTGATGTCTTGAACCATTTGATATAATAAAAAATTACTTCAAACTTAATGAAGTGTTAAAGTGAATGAAATTTCCGATTAAATTGAACCATGTGTTTTGTAACCTAGTAGAAGAAGATTTATTCACACGATAAAATTGTTCAACATGGTTTAATTTGATACCGGTAAAAATTTCTTAGAAGCGGGGAAAATCTATAGTTTTAAACTATTTTCATTTATAAAGAATACAAAATATATTTCTGTGCACGGTTAAAAAGGACCAATAACAATTCATCCGTTATTTTAACATATTCAAACGAAACAATCTAATATCCATAAGAAAAATGGCATTTAAACAGTTCACCGTGGAAATAACCGTTCATAAACTGTTTTCACCTAATACGATTAAATAATCAGAATTTTATAGCACCAATTAGACTCACCTATTGAATCCACTTAGTTCCTTGTAGTTGGGTACATATGATAGCCGAGAGGGCTCACCTGCCCATCTCATGACCGACAAAGTGGAGGTTCAAGTCCTAGCGTTGATATCCCATAATTTCCTCCATTCTCTTCAACACATGAATAGTTGCCAGTATCCTGAACTCCCCAATTTATATCCCTGGACTATTTGAAAACGACTCTCTCATTCACGCATAGATGGCAGCACCAAAAAGCTGCTTAACAGCTCCAATGTCCTGTTAAATTTCTTCTTTTTTTCGGTTTTGAAACTATGCTAATTGTAAATGGTTAAAAATCCACATAGTTTTGCATTCATGTTTTTTTTAACCATACTGGTTGTTAACGGTTTAAAAAGTGTAAAAGTAAAAAAAAAAATTCCACAAACTTTATGGTTATGGACTGCTGCCGGTTATTTTACTGTAATTTTAGAATGAAAATTGTAACAGCGTGTAAATATTTTGAATGTTCCATTTTGAAGATAAATTTAAATTTGAAAACACCACCCCGCAATTTGATGATGAGTACAAATTAAAATTGTAAGCTGTTAATAATTTTGACGCACGCAAAAGTTACTGGCTTCATTAGGTGGATCTAGCTGATGCAAATTCTACTTGTTTGACCATATTAAGTAAAATCAGCCTATAAACGGTTCTTTTCACAGTCAACAATTTGATTACCATCTTATTTATGATTAGTTGGTTGTTTTGTTTGAATGTGGTAAAATAAAATTAAACAATCAATGATGCAAAATGATTTTAATGTGGTGAAATAAAATAAATGGAATGAATAGTTATTTAACCATTTTTTCAGAAACATTTTCTAACAGTGATCGATTATCTAATAAACACCTATGTCATTTTAAACAACTCCTAAATACGATTAGGATATTTGTATGTTTATTTAATTTCCGAGCCTATCTTTTGTATTAAGATAATTTAGTTCAACATAATAACAATATTTACTTTTAGGTAAGGAGCGCTTTTAACTGTAGTCATTTACCGTAGTTGCATAGATAATTCTCGAAATTAGAAAATCTTTAACAAAGATTAGACATCGGATGCTTCAAAACAAAAACAGCTCTTAAGAAATTCCAAACAAAATAAGATAAGGTGCTATTTCCACAGAAATAAACATATTTGGTTATTTTGTTGCTGAATAGTAAAGAGATCACTATTTTGCCAACAATGGGGAAAATAGTTTTAAAAACGATTATTGTGATTATTGTATCTTTCAACATTAGTTTTTGCTTTAAAATGATGACCACTAGGGTAAAATATGAAAAACAATTTCAATGGACAGTAGGAAATTTAGATGAGTTACCAGAAGTATTGGAAAGCATGCCTTTCTATCCAATTGAAAACAATCCTTCAAAATGGATTATGGGTTTCAACAGCGGATCCAGCAAATACTACAGAGCATTTATGGAAATTTACCTTAAAAGTTTGGATTTCAAAGATATCATCAATCAAAGACAAGATATTAAAGTAAATGGCACTATAACATTCAGGAATTCCACTCACCATAGTATTGCTGAAAAAATCTTTAAAGAAAGTGTTATTACTCCAAGTGTGCAAATTACTCTTCTTCGTGCGAATATCGGAGATTTGTTCGGAATACATTTTGTGTCAGATTTGTTTAAAAAGCTCAATAATATCTTAATATTGGACTTTTCAATGACAATTATTGCACCACTAACAGTTTTCACAAATCCTGTATGAATGCATTTTTTGTTTAGAAAAATGCATCAGTACTTGTTTGCTTTAACAATTAGAGTATTTCGTGAAAATTCATCTTCAGACTTCAAAGATATCATCAGTCAAAGACAAGATATTAAAGTAAATGGCACTATAACATTCAGGAATTCCACTCACCATAGTATTGCTGAAAAAATCTTTAAAGAAAGTGTTATAACTCCAAGTGTACAAGTTACTCTTCTTCGTGCGAATATTGGAGATTTGTTCGGAATACATTTTGTGTCAGATTTGTTTAAAAAGCTCAATAATATTTTAATATTGGACTTTTCAATGACAATTATTGCTCCACTAACAGTTTTTACAAATCCTGTATGAACGCATTTTTTGTTTAGAAAAATGCATCAGTACTTGTTTGCTTTAACAATTAGAGTATTTTGTGAAAATTCATCTTCAGACTTCAAAGATATCATCAGTCAAAGACAAGATATTAAGGTAAATGGCACTATAACATTCAGGAATTCCACTCACCATAATATTGCTGAAAAAATCTTTAAAGAAAGTGTTATAACTCAAAATGTGCTAAATACTCTTTTTTTAGCGAATATTGGAGATTTGTTTGAAATATATTTTATGTCAGATTTACTCAGGAATATTTTATTATTGGACTTTTCAATGACAACTATTGCACTAATTCCGTATGAATGCATTATTTCTCTCTCCAAAAATATTTCAATATTTCATTTTAGCAATAAAGAACAAATATGTTTTTGAGATTGCATATGGTATATATAAATAATGTTAAGTTGATTGATTAGTTTTTATTTAAAATGGCAGGTTATTATTCATAGTGACTGAATCGGCTTATGAATAGAAGGAAATGTGTGCAATTTTCTGAAATTGCATTAAGTGTACTACATATGTTTATTTGTTGAATCTAGTTCTTGCATGCGATAATTGTATTTTATGCATAATAACGAGAACTCTTTATGAATCTAATTAAATATGCAAGATTATTTTAACTTAAATGTTGGATATTGCTTAGATTGCAGTTAAGTTTATAAATCTGAATATTACATAATAACTTGGGTAACATATACTAATCTAAAGAGTTCTCTAATGAGACAAAATGCTCATAATGTTATAAAATTTCTTTCTCTAAATAAAATGTCCGGCGAATGTATTTATCCATTTCATAATTTCCCAAATGAAGTAATCTAGTCAGTTATTACAAAAAAATAATCAATTTACTGCTATGAATATTACAAATAAAGTGATTAATCAATCAATTTAATCAAGTAATTTAATTAATCAATTAAAGTTACAAATTTGATGGTTTTATCATATTAATGCGAAAAATAACCATTTGAAATTATGATGTTAATGAATTTTAATAATAATCAACCATTTTTATTGTTTTTAAAACTAGCCTGTCTGAAAGCAACGAATTTAACACAATAATTTATATTGGGTATTTATCATTTACCGATCTCAAAATGTAATTCATTTATGTGTTAAGTTTTTACTCATTTAAGAAAAAATACTTCACAGGGTACGTACACTATTGTAAACTTTAAATATATAGTTAATTGAAAATTTATAATTTAAAAATACTATTTGTGAATCTTGTATATTATGCATCTTGTATAGTATGCCTGAAATATAATATTTACGTATTTATGTGTGCATATTTCGCAAGCTAATCTTTCAGGTATTTACAAACTCAATAAATAAGTATTTAGTTTATTTAATTCCGTATTAAATTTTCTTAATTTTTTAATGCAGGAAACAGCAATAAAATATTTTTCAAAACTAAAGTAGGATTTCTATTTTGGAAATTTTCAAGTTTAAAAAAAATATTATGTAAAAAGTATTCTTTAAAATAAATATAAATATATGATGGGATATATCAGGATATATCATTATATAATAAGGATAATCATTATATAGTAATATATCATTATATAATAAGGGAGGATATATCATTATATAATAAGTGTTTTGTAAACCTTATAGTATATTTTAGGAATCTTTTTGTTAATATTACTTCTCCAAAAAACCTTTTATCAAATGAAAATTTTGATTGTTACTGTAATGAAGTGAAACCGTTAAATATGTCTAAAATGTTTATTATGCAAGAAAGAAAAGTTTTCCTTTTTATAATTTATAGAAGGCTAATTGTATTTTAAATGTATGGAGCGAAAAAGAAAACTAGAAACTAGATAAATATTTGCTTATACTTAATGAAAAAATTTAGTTTGATTGCATGAATATATGAAATGATATGATTATATGAATTGAAATGAATAGAAACAGACAATAAGAATTATACCGAGATCTTTTTTTAAAAGAATACTTTTTTTTGCAATTATTTTTAAATATATAAAGGAAACCATTCTTATTAAGATGAGATACATTAGAAACATAAGAATTTTTTGATAAAATTTTTAATTTGTGTTAATTTAATGGCTAAGTAGACAATGTCTATTTTGAAACAGCTTTCTGTTTAAAAAACGTTTATTTTTTCACATAATGATTTCACACTGTTTCTTTAACCCTGAGCAAAAGCTGAATGAAAAATGGTATATTTTAACATTTATTCATTCTTCTCACTTTTTTATATTTCCTTTTACATCCACTTCCATATTCTCTTTATAAATTAAACTAATAAACCAACCAATAAATGACAAGAACTATGTCACACAGACAGAAATCTTTATTGTACACGAAATATTTATTGCTGGAATTCATAGTTATTGCAATATTTAGTACATGTTCAAAAACTGCCCTTTCTCTGTTCAAATATAGTAAATAAATTTTTATTTACTATATTGGGCCACAAGCGAAAATACAGCAAAAATTTCTTCAAAGAGGTTCATTTATACTAATCTTTGCATTATATCGAATCAAGCTACATTAAAGTAATTGTTTTTTTATTTATAAAAACACATAAATTTGACAACCACACATAAACTAATTAAGTTACCCTTAATGGGTTAGTCATAACCTTGCAAAATAAATGGAAAAACCTGTAGCGGGTTAGTATGAACCTTAAATTCAAAACAAAGACTATTCTCATCAAAAATCATCAACTCTCTCTTGTTCCATAAATTGTCTAGTACTTTTATTTTTAATATATCTCGTCATTATAATATTTTTATTCATGCTTTTGTTGGTCGGATATTTTTAATATATATCTAGATTTTATAACGTTAATAAATGACTCACTAGGCAAAGATAAAGTGTTGGGTAAAATATGAATATTTTTACCAGATTTTATTTTCAGTGTCAAAACAAAGCAAATCACAAATTTTCATGACCATATGCTCCTTATCAATTACTGTTTTTATCTTTCTCCTTTCATCAAAGAAAAAAGTTTTTAGGAGGAAAAGTATCTAAATAGCCTCCCTCTAGACTGATATTTTTCAACAAAAGATATTGCACACCTTAGAGTAAAATGACGCAGAATATTATATATTTTTTTCTTTTTTTGTAATAAGATGTTGATTTTAAAACCACTCCTATAATTTCGAAATATTTTATCTGAATCAGAAGTTATTGGACAGTGAGCTAAAAAAATTTGATATCAAGGTGATAAAAATAAGGTGTTCTTCAAAGAAATCAAATAAAGATAAGAAAGCTCAAATAAAGTGAAAAACCCTTTAGGCATCATTAAGCATCATATTTCTCTGATGCTTAAACTTATAAAAGACGCATAAGCTTTTGAGGCAGGTAAAAAATAATTACTTAGAAAAAAAAATAATAAGGTAGATTCAATCTAGAGATGAAAAAACTACTTTTTATTTTGATTGTGTCAGAAATCGTTGCTCCGAGCATCGTCATTGGATTTAAAATGAAGTCAACTCCTGTTGAATATGAGAAGAAATTTCGATGGACCGTGGAACGTTTGAAACAGATGCCGGGAGAAGTAGAAAGCTTGCCATTTTCAGTAGTGAAGAACAATTCATGGATATGGAAAATAGTTTTAAAACCTGTTGTCGGTCAAGTGAAAATACTCTTAAAACACCTTGATACGAATCAGCATCACCAATCAGATATTTCTGTGGCAGGGAATGTAGCATTCAAGAATTCGACGCACCATTTAATTGCGAGAGAATATTTACGACCGCGACTTGTTGATTCTGAGGTTTTGTTGTTCCAAGCACCTACCTTTACGTGGATTGAATCAACTGTTGAAAATTTTAAGAGGGCAATTAATAGTACTTTAATTTTAGACTTTGCATTCAATATTACCGCTCCTTTTAGCGTGTTTGAACATCCGCAGAGACATTCCACTGTATCGGACTAATTTGCTGAATTCTTGAGAGAGATTGGATGATTGAAAAAAATTTCGTTGAACTGTAGAAAGTTCAAAACTATTGTCAGATGGAAAGAAAAGCTTGCTGTATTCATCAGTGATTAGAAAAATAGTTTTTAAATCTGTTAATGATGGAAGAAAATAATTAAATCATTTCGATATGAATTTGAACGTACAATGCGAACGTAGCCTTCGAGAATTCAACTCACCATTTATTTACCAGAGAATCTCTGCCAACAAGGCTCATGGTTCTGAAGTCCTAATGTATCAAGTGCCTGTCCTCAGATTGGTTGAGTCTACAGTTCGAAATTTCAATAGAGCAATAAATAGTACTTAATTTTAAACTTTGATTTAAATATCATTTCACCATTTACCATTTTTTAACATCCTGGATGACTTTCTACTGCATTGAATCAATATTTCAAAATTTTGAAATTAACTGCAACTAAAAATGAAACACTCTTTTTTCGCTGTTTAAAATAGAATTCGTATAATAGGATCTGTTCAAAATAAAATAAATATTTCGAGATATTTTAATACGTTTATTTCATGGAAACATGGCCTAACAGAAGGAGGCAGCGAAATGGAAGAGTTTGTAAAAGGTATGTATAGTAATGGTGTGTAAACACTCACATTAAATGGTTTAGAAATGTGTTACGGTTGTATTTAAGTATGAAACAAAAATTTCTAATATGAAATTTGAAAATGGAATTGTTTTTGATTAGAAAGGCGATTTGTAACAAATTCCTATTTTTTTAAAAAAAAAAAAATTCTTCTGATTATCTGATTTTCTGATTCCTAACTATCTTAGAGTTTCCATTTAACATGCTATATCATGAAGGTTCTTAAATATATCTTTGTTACTCTAGAAAAAAAATATAGTGATTAAGAAGTTGATTAATTTCTTATCAGTAATTTTTATTTTGAGATTAAAATACAATCTCAGAAAAATTTATCATACCATTATACCTTAAACCATAATTCAACACAATTTTTTCTCAAACTTAATGAAATATTAAATTTAACCATGTTTAAATTAACCAAGCAATACGATATTAGTGTTCAACTTTCTTATACATTTAGCTATACTATACAATATACATATTAGCTATACATTATTTTTCCCTTGAACCATGATACGGTGCAAATTAGCCCCACATCAATAATAAAATATTAAATTGAACTATGTTTTCGTTGAATTTGAACCATAGTATCTCGTAATCAAACTTAAGATAATCAAATTTAAGAAATACGGTATTACGGTTCAACTTAGCTCAACATTTCGGATCGATATTGTAGTTCAAGAATTTTTACGCCGAAATTTATTTCTGACAACGAATTTAATTGATTTCTTATTCAAAAATTACAGATTGATTTATTCGAAATAAACTTGTAAAGATCTATATATTTGAGAGCACGCAAATGTATGGGAAACATTTGGGAGCATGTATGATTTCGCTTATCTAGGTGGAATTATCTATCGCTACATATATTATCCCTGATATAAAACATAAATAGGTGTATCCCTGATGTAAAACATTTTCGATAATTTCTTGGAGTAGTGCTATAATTAACTGCTCTATATAAATTTATAATATTTTGAAGTATTATTAATTTAATAATATGATTCATTTCTGTGAGTATTGTATTTTTATTGCTAGGCTATTACTAAACATTGAAGAACGTTTAAAGAATACCAATTATTATAGAACTTTAAAAGTACATCAATTTCCTAACTTTCAAGAACGTTAATTTTTTAATTAAATGTTCCAATGTAAGAAATTAAATGTTCTATAACTAACAAGTTTATAAAAATTTATAATATTTATATGTATTATTAATTTAATTCTCTTCAGTTAGTACTGTAGTATCATTACTAGTTAATTATAAATTATTAACGAAGATATTGCAGATTACCAATTATTATCGAACTTTACCACTAAGAACAAATTCTGTTAAAATTACCGTTCTGTAATGACATTTCTGGTAAAAAAAACATAATTCAGGTAATAGAACCAGAATATATGGTCTTTAAGCCATTCATTTAGTAATTGTTCCTTTTGATTGGTAACGGTTGGTAATGGTTTACGGGAAATTTTGGTTTTCAAAACTATAGTTCCCATTACTACACCTTTAATAAAAATGCAAAATTGATAAGTAAATTTAACCGAATACGTCCTGCTCTAAGATAACATGATAAAATTACCAAACTTCATCAATATTTTAAATATATATATTGTTGTTAATTTTACCAAAATCATTACCAAAGCACTTCGGTTAAAGTTACCGAAGTTTTTGGTGTTTGCAATGAGCTAGAAACAAGATAAATTTTTCCATATTCAACTAGTTTTGACCAAATTTTTTTTGAGCGAAAAGAATGTCAGTTTCCACAGGTTTTAAAACCCTAAATGTTTTAATCAAATATTTCAATGCAAGAAATAAAAGTTTTTAGTTTCAAAAATTTTCCCAATTTAACTATTCATTTTTTGAAGTTATATATTTTATCTCACGAACAAAATACAAAATGAAAACATTAATTTAGATATAAACAGTGCAGCAAAAAAAAAAAAAAAAAAAAAAAAAAAAAANTGCAGCAAAAAAAAAAAAAAAAAAAAAACACCTGAATTGCATTTGATCTAAAGAACGGATCTTCTTACTCTAGGATTCAATGGTTCGACGGTTTTGACCTCAAATGTGCTAATTAATTAGCACAAACGATATTTTAAGTTACGAAATCAAACACAAAAGCGTAATTTCTTGAATTAACATACCCTTCTTTCGACGGATTCAGATTTCTGAACCCCGAAATATTGGGGGTAGCCGCAATCTGGGAAATATGGACCCCATAGTTTGGTTAGGAGAGTGATTCAAAGCTTGGATTCCTTAATGCCCTTATTTTTTGCATATTTCATTACATCTCGAGAGTTTCTTAAGCTAATTTAAAATTTTTTGCATACATTTATAAAATTCGTTTGACCAAATATAATTCCATGCAAAAATAATATTTTGTAAATATTTAATATTTGTTTAATAAAGATCCAAAAAAAATTTGAATTGTAAGGTATACAATTTTTACATCGTTTCAAAGTGTGTAATTTTACATGTCAAAATACAAAATTTGAGCAAAATCGGTTGAATAGATCCTGATAAATTGAATTTTAAATATGCATCTTTTTTTAAAATTCCCTTTCTCAGGAACTATTCATCCGATTTCTCTCAAGTTTTGCATTTCGTCATGTAAAATTGCAGACTTCAAAATTATGCCAAAAATATTAGACCTTACAATTCTTTTCGGCTGTTGTTAAAAGAAATATTAAAGGATAATAAATATTAACAAAAATTTATTTTTTGAAATAATTATCTTTGGATATTTTCTTTTAACCGGTATTTAATAAAAGTAAACTAGATTCTTAATACAAAATTATATATCGTTATAGTTTATCGTTTTACATAATTTGAATATGATTTAAATATGATTAAAATACAGCATTCAGCTTTTTAATACAGTGTTGGACCCGAATTAAATTTTCGGTAAATGTTTATTATAATATGAATCAACCACTATGGAAATTTTAATCACTTTCTTTCTCAATGCCCGCTTGGAGAATGATCTTTTGTCATACAGGCATCTGAAGGGCAGATTTGTTGGCAACTCTTTCAGGAGAACCATATTAGATGGGCCAACGTTGCTCTCTCAAAAAGGACAGATAGTACAGAGAATGAAAGAACATCCATGCCTTGCCCGGGATTCGAACCCAGAACCTTTCTGATTCAAGGCCAATTCCCTGACCCCAACACAAGTCGGTCGGCAAATGTAATCACTTGATGCAAATAAAACATAGAAACATATGCATAAGCTACAACATTTATTTGTGTTATTGAGTGAATTTCAAACCAGAAATCTTATTAAAATACATTTTTCGGCCTATTTTCTCAAAACGATAAAACTTAGGTACTGAAGCTACTTGCACTTTGGTGGTCCTTTTGTTCTGGGGGTGATTTGTTTTCCATCCTTATTCACGCACCAACAGTTTCCAGTTGCACCATCACACTGTGATTTGGTGTACGTGCCGTCATCATTACACACTGGTATAAAAACATTAATATCGCCTAAAAAATATATATTCATTTTAGTTAAAATAAATGTAACATATACAGTAAGCCATAGCATTGCTTTTGATCCGGAAGCGCGTCAAGAGTTCGAGCTTTGATTTTAGGTTATATATATATATATATATATATATATAACCTAAAATCAAAGCTCGAACTCTTGACGCGCTTCCGGATCAAAAGCAATGCTATGGCTTACTGTATATGTTACATTTATTTTAACTAAAATGAATATATATTTTTTAGGCGATATTAATGTTTTTATACCAGTGTGTAATGATGACGGCACGTACACCAAATCACAGTGTGATGGTGCAACTGGAAACTGTTGGTGCGTGAATAAGGATGGAAAACAAATCACCCCCAGAACAAAAGGACCACCAAAGTGCAAGTAGCTTCAGTACCTAAGTTTTATCGTTTTGAGAAAATAGGCCGAAAAATGTATTTTAATAAGATTTCTGGTTTGAAATTCACTCAATAACACAAATAAATGTTGTAGCTTATGCATATGTTTCTATGTTTTATTTGCATCAAGTGATTACATTTGCCGACCGACTTGTGTTGGGGTCAGGGAATTGGCCTTGAATCAGAAAGGTTCTGGGTTCGAATCCCGGGCAAGGCATGGATGTTCTTTCATTCTCTGTACTATCTGTCCTTTTTGAGAGAGCAACGTTGGCCCATCTAATATGGTTCTCCTGAAAGAGTTGCCAACAAATCTGCCCTTCAGATGCCTGTATGACAAAAGATCATTCTCCAAGCGGGCATTGAGAAAGAAAGTGATTAAAATTTCCATAGTGGTTGATTCATATTATAATAAACATTTACCGAAAATTTAATTCGGGTCCAACACTGTATTAAAAAGCTGAATGCTGTATTTTAATCATATTTAAATCATATTCAAATTATGTAAAACGATAAACTATAACGATATATAATTTTGTATTAAGAATCTAGTTTACTTTTATTAAATACCGGTTAAAAGAAAATATCCAAAGATAATTATTTCAAAAAATAAATTTTTGTTAATATTTATTATCCTTTAATATTTCTTTTAACAACAGCCGAAAAGAATTGTAAGGTCTAATATTTTTGGCATAATTTTGAAGTCTGCAATTTTACATGACGAAATGCAAAACTTGAGAGAAATCGGATGAATAGTTCCTGAGAAAGGGAATTTTAAAAAAAGATGCATATTTAAAATTCAATTTATCAGGATCTATTCAACCGATTTTGCTCAAATTTTGTATTTTGACATGTAAAATTACACACTTTGAAACGATGTAAAAATTGTATACCTTACAATTCAAATTTTTTTTGGATCTTTATTAAACAAATATTAAATATTTACAAAATATTATTTTTGCATGGAATTATATTTGGTCAAACGAATTTTATAAATGTATGCAAAAAATTTTAAATTAGCTTAAGAAACTCTCGAGATGTAATGAAATATGCAAAAAATAAGGGCATTAAGGAATCCAAGCTTTGAATCACTCTCCTAACCAAACTATGGGGTCCATATTTCCCAGATTGCGGCTACCCCCAATATTTCGGGGTTCAGAAATCTGAATCCGTCGAAAGAAGGGTATGTTAATTCAAGAAATTACGCTTTTGTGTTTGATTTCGTAACTTAAAATATCGTTTGTGCTAATTAATTAGCACATTTGAGGTCAAAACCGTCGAACCATTGAATCCTANCGCCCACATGTTGCGCGGACTGTTAGAGACTTCTGTTCAGCACAACGCATGCAACTTCTTCCTTGGCCTGCTTATTCGCCGGATATGTCGCCTATTGAGCACGTGTGGGATATGGTTGGTCGGCGTCTCACTCGTGATCCGCGTCCTGCAGTTTCCAAAGACGAACTTTGGTTGCGCATACAAGCGATATGGAATTCTCTTCCTCAAGCAGATATTCAACATCTGTTTGACTCCATGCCACGTCGTATAGCAGCACTTATTGCAGCGCGTGGTGGCTGCACCAAATACTGATTTCGGACGCTTAATTTGTTTCTTTTGTTTTGAAAATTTCATCATTTATTTGTATCAGTACAAGTCGTTTCTGCATTAAATTTCATTTGATTCTGATGATTCTTTCATGGTGTTGCATTTTCTACAAACAGCAGTTTATATATATATATATATCATAATCGTCGTTGCGTTGAGCAGCCGACCCAAGTTCACTACTTATGTTCAGCTACGTAACCTAGTAATTTTGAACTCAATCCGGAAGACAAAGGAGCTCCTGGATCAAGTATTGGGTGAAATTTGCCTTCTTAGATGACTTTTTGATGGAACTAACCCGCATTTGCGTTAGATGGAGAGGAAGACAACGAGAACGTTCCACTGTTAGCCTGAGGGCAAGGGGACTCTAACCCATGGATACGTCTACTACTGAGGATATTTCACGTTAGAACTGTGGTCGGTGCAAGCCGGATGAGGAATTTCATCACCGGGATTCGAACTCGGTTCACTTTATTGGAAGGTGAACGTTCTATCCCCTGAGCCATCGCGGATCTATATTATATTTTGATATTACACTAAACTTGGTCTTTTAGGATTTGACTTGGACATTAGACTTGGTCTTTTAATTTTTATTTCCTAAGCATATACGCCACGTTGTCCTATTGATTTGCTCATTGTTCCAACATTATTTATGAAATGATTTTATTACTAATACTTAGATCAATAACAATGGAGAAAACTTTTGTGTTGTATTTATACAAATATTTAATCATGCCCAATTTAGGTAAGAGAATTTTAAATCTAAAATTTGTTTTGCACGTAAAGCTACATATTTTGTAAAAGACATTTTGGTTTATTTTTAGTCGAAATGTACAAGTTTAAAAACGTTGTATGCAACAGGGGGTCGTATGAATGTTGCGATGAACTACTAAGAGAGTTACGACACATCATCAGTATTAAAATCGGATAAGAACCTATACCCGGAAATGTCATCGTACGCGGCTAGGGGGGCTTCGTTATTTTTGTAAGTGACGACATTACCGGACATGGGTTCCTATGCACTTTTAATCCTGATACTGTGTTCTAACTCCTCTAGAAGTGTGTTGCAACACTTATGCGACGCCCCATTATATATAACCATTATATATAACGCACCTATACCCGGAAATGTCGTCGTACGCTGCTAGGGGCGCTTCGTTATTTTTGTAAGTGACGACATTACCGGACATGGGTTCCTATGCACTTTTAATCCTGATAATGTGTTCTAACTCCTCTAGAAGTGTGTTGCAACACCAATGCGACGCCCCATTATATATAACGATTTTACACTTATACATTTTGAAAAAAAAAAACAGATTAAAAAATTTAGTTGAAAAAAAAACTGTAGCTTAAACTGAGAAACCGATTACAGATTTAAAATCAGCGACGTAAAAATATCCAAGATTCGTTAAAAAAAAAGTCATGCAGCAAGAATTTTAAAAAAAATTCCCCTATGTTATCATTACTTTGAATGATTCTCAATTTAACTAGTGAATAAATGAAATTTTAAAAGGCAAAGATTAGCAAAAATAAAAATCACATGTTGATACAGCAACCGTGAATAGAATGTATTTTTCGATAATGAATATAATGTGTTTTCTTTCTCAAAATAAAAATAAGTATGTTTTGTAGTCGACGACTACTTTAATCAAGTGGGATCCAATTCGAACTATAGGAGAAAAACAGTAATTACTTTGAAAGCAATTTCTACAGATAATCATTATTTGTAAAAAATATTTTCGTAAGTAAAATTTAATTTTTTTAGAAATAAAACCTATAGTCTGTGGCATGGCAGCCAAAGACAAATTGAAAAAATAAATATGTAGTCATGCAAGCTGTTTTAATAATTGTTTTTTATTATTGAAAGATGAAAACACTCCTTGCTTGCTCTTAAGAACTTTTTGATTATGTTCGTCAGATTCTTATTAAGATACAGGTTGTGTAATGAAAATAACTGAAGATGAACGTAATCCATTTAGGTTTATTTCTATATAATAATTTTTTTAGAGTATTATAGCTTAGATGTGGTTTTTGATAATAACATCTAAAAGTCTTTGGTTTCAAGAATTTAAAAAAATACTTTACAAGTCTCATATTCAACAGTTTTAAAATAAAAATTTTCTTAAAGATTCAATTTGTAATTAAAAAAAATTGCAATTTAAAAATTATTAAGAACTTTTAACTTGTTTAACCATGTTTAAAAATTAAATATTATGGTCCAAAAGAAAATGCGTGATTAGTTATGGGCAAATAGAAATTAATTTTGAAAAAAATTTAATTTTTCTTGAACGATTTTGAAAAATAGTTTCAATAGGCAGGCGGACTTACTGGAAAATAAATATTCTGTATAAAGATTCAAAATAGTAACCAGTCGCCTGTTTTTAGATTTTTAATAGGCAATTTTGTTTTTGAGCCGCGATGGCTCAGAGGATAGAGCGTTCGCCTTCCAATGAGGTGAATGGGGTTCGAATCCCAGAGATGGCTGGTCGATACGAATTCCGCATCCGGCTTGCATCAACCACAGTGCTGACGTACAATATCCTCAGTGGTAGACGGATCATGGGTTAGGGTCCCCTTGCTATTAATGCTAACCTGCGAGGGGTTCTCGTGGTCTTCCTCTTCATGTAACGCAAATGCGGGTTAGTTTCATCAAAAAGTCCTCCTCGATGGCAAATTTCTCCCAATACTTGATTCAGTAGCTCCCTTGTCTACTGGATTGTGTTTCAAATTTCAAGGCTATGGAATTGAACATTAGTTGTCAGAAGCGAAAAAATTGGATCGGCTGTTCAACGACGTTTATAAAAAAATAAGTATCTTTGTTTTTATGCAATTAACGTTAAAAGAATTTTTTTAGCGTTATCTAAATTGGTTTTATTAATTTAGATAGTTAATTAATAATTAGTCAATTAATTAATTAGATTTTAAAAAATGTAAAAATAAACGTGTAGTTTTAAATTAGTTACTCAAAACCACAAATCGCATCATTTTATTGCTTTAAAGAGTTGAGGAAAATTTCAAAGAATTTCTGAAAATTATCAAGTGCTACTTTTCCGAATCTAATAAAGCGACCCTTTTATTTTCTGCCTTTTTTGAAAAGTATTGTGCTGTCTATATCATCAAAAGTTTCTTAAATATAGAAAATATTGAGTACGTTGTATCCAAGATGGTGTGGGTACAGGCCTCTAAAAATGCGACTTTTCATCAAAGACAGTGGTTCCCAACCCCCGGGATCATGATTGATACCGGTTCCTGGATCAAGTAGCACCGGGTCGTTCAAGGAACATTAAATTATTTCCATTTTATTTTACTGTGATGTATTTCTATTAGCTTTGAATGATTTTCCGTGGACGAGAGATTAATCAGAAGTTGAGAGACGTCCTTTAAAGCCACGATATCAAGAATAGGCCTGTAATTGCATAATTTTTTGATGTCGTTGCTGCTGTTGTTGTTAATTTACGTCGCACTAGAGCTGCACAATGGGCTTTTTGGCGACGGTCTGGGAAACATCCCGGAGGATGATCCGAAGACATGCCATTACAATTTTGATCCTCTGAGGAGGGGATGGCACCCCCGCTTCTGTAGCCGGACGACCTATAGTTTCTTTTCTTCTTTTTTCTTTTTTTTTTGAAGGCGCTATATGTAATTGTATTTTAGCGCCTTAACGCATCTAACGTGCATGCAATTGCATTATATTTTGAAGACATGTTTAAATACAATTATATTAAAATCATTAAATCAAAAAAATCTGAAATGTAACAATCTAACTAATAAACAATCCAGCGATTTTGGGGGATTTTCTTTTCTGCTGTAATTGGTCCCAACTATTAACCCCTTTGAAGGCTGTGGTAAGTATACTTACCACCACGTTTTACCACTTTTGATTTAGGTTTCCACTTTTCAATAATTTCAGCTTTCTTGAAGTGAGTTTGAATAAAATTGGTAACCATTTGTCACTTTTAAAAAACGTATAAATGTTATAAAATACGTAATTCCTTTTGAAGTTTGTAGCATTTAAGGAATTTATTTTATAAATAAAGAAAAATAAAAGTCAGTAAGTTCCTAATAGGTCATGTTAAATATATTTACCACCAAAAACATGGCATTTTTATAAACTAAATGATTTTTTTTAATATCAATTACTGTTCTTAAAACAATTTCAGTTCCAAAAATATTTTAATTTACCTTTACTAGAAATAAAGGGCCCGTAAAAGGGTTAAGCAAGGTTTTATTTCCTTTAAAATTTGTCGCCTAACTAAAGTAGTCAAGAATAAAATTTTTTTTCTTCTTTTCTTTTGAGAAAATGCTCAACAAGATGGATTGTTAATGGGCCATTGAATAGGAAAATATCTTGCGGGCTGCGGCAAAATTTTCAAACGTTGACCGGTCCGGGGCCGTGAAAAGTTTGAGTGCACTGCTCTGAGGGTATCAGTTAACAAATTTCTTTGTCAAATATTATGCTTAATGCACACTTTTAAAACATATTATAAACAAAGCAACAACATTTTAAACGAAAAATTTTTTAATTGTCAGTATTTGGCTTTTTAATACTTAAATACAAGAAAAATAACTAAAAAAAAAAAAGAACTTGAACGATCAACAGTAATGCTAAGTTACTACTTCTACCAATGGTACACAACTCCAGAATAACTTACTCTATCATCAAGGGCTGCTAAAATTTTACGTAAGGAAGTTTTTATCAATTTTTGACTCCCCTTCCCCCTTGTCAGCAAAAATAAGAATATCACACACCTATTTCATACTTATGTAAAATAGTCGCAAGCTTCCTGTTTTTGCATTAACTTTGACTTTAAAAGTTATATTGTAATTCAAATAAATGAATTTTTACTTAGAACTAAATTTATGTCTCTTGACGTGCCAATTCAACGTATTCTGTATCAGTTTATATTTGAACTTTAAAAAGTGTTTTAGTTTGTGGATGCTACAAAAATACATAAAATTATGTGAAGCTCTTTCTGAAAATTAATAAGGGAATCTTTATACCTAAAATTATAATTATATATCACTCATATTTTCTTCTTAAAAATGAAATAGGTGCCATCTGCTATAGTCTTATGATGTAGTCAAGTTCAAAATACTCATTTACAAGCCTACGAGATAGTAAAAAGTTCAACATATTCATTCATAAACTTATTAAATATGAAGTTTGATAGTTACAAGACATTCGTTTATGTTTTTATGAGAAAATCAAGTATGAAAGTAAACGCTTCTGTAAATAACTGGTGTTATTCAAAAGAGAGATATTTTCGCGGCGAGATGTAAAATTAATCAATATTCCTTCAAAACTTAATGCGTCATTTTTGCAACCATTTTATAGTTAACTATTTAATAGTTCCCATTTCTTCAATAACACTTTGAAACATAAAGAAGACAGGTTAAATTATTAAATGTCATACTCACTAAAAGTTCCCGCTATATCATCCCGTTCTTTTTCACATTTAGATTTTGATTTGGATGATCCGTAAACGGTGCAAATAAAGCCAGAGTATAGTAACAGCATTATGACAGGTAGTAACTTCATGCTAAAGCATTCTGAAATATATATAAAAGTACATAATATGAAGGTATAGCATAGTAAAATATTAATAAATGATAAAAAATATAGTAATAAATCATAAATAACATAATAATAAATTCCGATAAATTATTTTACAATACTAATTCTTATTTAACGTACAAAAGGAAAAAAGATTAAGTCATATTTATATGATATTTAAACATACCCTAAGAAACAATCCAACCGAGCTGAGTACGGATAATTGTAGTTATAGCAAACAACTACTTTCGACTACTGGACAACTACAACTACTTTTATAGCAGCTACAACTTTTTAACAAGTTACTTTTCTTAAAACATAATGTACGACTAAGGTAAATTATATGAACGTATAACATAATAAAATATTAACAAATGATATATAATATAATAATAGATCATAAATAACATAATAATAAATCCAAATAAATTATTTTACTATACTAATTCTTATTTAACGTACAAAAGGAAAAAAGATTAAGTCATATTTATATGATATTTAAACATACCCTAAGAAACAATCCAACCGTGCTGAGTACGGATATTTGTACTTATAGCAAACAATTTAACTCTTTTAAGTAACTTTTCTTAAAACATAACGTACGACTAAAATACTGTAAACATATATAACATGTGTATAACGTAATAAAATATTAATAAATGATATATAATATAATAATAGATCATAAATAGCATAATAATAAATCCTAATAAGTTATTTTAGAATAATAACTCTTATTTAAAATACATAGGGAAAAAAAAGGACAAGACTATATGGTATTTAAACATACCCTAAGAAACAATCCAACAGAACTGATCAAGGCTATCTTCTTTGTATCACTTGATCACCGTACCAATTCCATCACAAAAGAAAAAAAAAGAATAAAATATTATCATTTACTATGGTAATAAAATTTTATATTATTGTAGCACATATGTGTTGTTTGTACAAAGGTTTCAAAATACAAGTGCGAACGCTTTTACAAATACTTATTTGACAAGCGCTGTTTAATTGAAATTTTATCAGTAACTATATCATACTATTTCCGTTTGCACCTGAAAAACACATTGCCTATCCGTGTCATACTAAAAACTATAAAGATAAAATGACATAATTGTTATAACGCAAAATATTTTGCTATTTAAGACACTTAAGGATATCACGTGAACAAACTAATCTTTTTATCTAATGGCAAACTCGAATTACAAAACTCAAATGGTGGTTTTATTTTTTGAGGAATTCTCGAGATTTGGCTGGTCTTTTATTGATGAAAAACAAAGTTATAATGATAAATTTAACTGACAATTGAGAGGGAATTGTCTTCATAGTTATTACATAGCTACCGTTTTTCTTGATTTCTGATTTAGATTATTTGTTGTGGTAGCAATATAACATTAAATTACAACTGTAACCTTGAGCACTTTCAAACACTTGGAATTATTAGATAACATAAAGCTTTTTTTGCTTTAAAAAAATATGAACATGGTAATAAAAGTTGACATATTTTGAGCGCTCAAAACATGTCTACACTGCAAAGAACTCCGGTTCCATAGTTTCTATGTTTTTTTAATCTTAAAATATCTTTTTTATTTTGAAATGTCTTTAAAATCTTTGAAAAACGAAACTATACTGGCAAATTCGACTCATAACTGGGCGCAACGGACTTCCTAGCTGATAAAATGAGGAGATGGGACATTTAGTTTTTTTGCTTTTATTTTTGTTTATTTTTGTAACTAATACTGAAAATCTCGTGATTTGGCTAGCATTTTCATAGTTAAAAGACGGAGTTGTGGTGATGAATTTTAGCTTTAAGAGCATGTATTGAAAAGAGGACATGGAACATCTAGTTTTTGGTTTCCTAATTTTTGCAACTTTTATTTCAATCGTTCCTTAGCTAGTCTTTTTTCAGAAGAAAGACAGAGTTGTATGGGTAAATTAAGCTGTGAAGGAATACTCTTTCTAATTATCGTAAGGATAAAACAGCAATTCCTTTATTTTAGAATTTTACTGAAAGTCTATACATGTGGTTTTGGAAGCTAATGCTGTAGCGGTACATTTAATTGTGGAAGAATATTGTGAAGTTAAGAGTTATTTTTCAATCATTTTAGCTGTAAGGAAACAATGTTTTAACGTACTTTAAAAGAACATCTGTTTTTCCAGAATTCTGTTCTTTATGCCTTTTACTAGAAATCTTGATATTTGGTAAGCTGTTTTAGACGAAAGACAGAGTTGTACACTGTAAAAAATTGCGGATCAATTCGACGAAAGAAGTACAAATACTCAGAGTGATGTTATTTTTCACCATAAAATCCATTTTTACAGGAATATGTTAAGCACAAAAAGTCTAATATACCCTAATTCTCAAGTTAAAATTTACAGTAAAATTTCCTTAACACTCTAGCTAAATATATATTATTGTAAAAATTACGGTATTTTACGTTGAAAGTAAATTTTACGATAAAATGGATTTTACGGATGAAGGGTTCAAAAAGATGATTCTGTAATTTGATCTGGAATTTTTTAAGATGTAATGGTAAATTTGGATTGGACGAATGATTTTTCCCTTTGTAAAAAAGGCATGTTACCTAAAAAATAAGAAATATTTTTGAATGACTTGAAAAATAATTTTAAAAATTATCAAATTTATTGACAAATATAACCCTGCGTTACGTTTCATTTATGAAAGTATCTTTCTAAATGTCACAATCACCGGAAAAGTTTAGGTTCTGATATGAAAGAAAGATTTTCAATGGATAATGCATAAAGAAATGAATAAAATAAAGCTCAAATCATATTTATTCTTATAAAAGATAAGATAAAACTGTGTTATCACACGCCGTCGTATTCTAAAATTACGTTTTCAGTTACTGATACTTTTCAAATGAGTGTATGTTTCCAGATAAATCCAAACTATTTGAATAAGCCTACAGTTTGAATAAGCCAAACGTTTCAGTATCAGTTTGAAAATGTCTTTTGATCTTGATATGGTAACAGCAACTTCCATGATCAATAAAAGAATTAGATGGAGAATAAAAGATTTTTCGGAATTACCATATGTGTTTGAAAGCATGCCCTTCTCCCCTATAGTGGGTGGCTCTTCGAAATGGACAATCAGGATACATTACAGGAAGTACAATTTCTTTCAAATGTATTTGCGAAGTTTGGACTCTATAGATATATCGTCTTTTGTAGTGTATAGAGTAAAAGGCGAAATCGTACTTAAGAGCTCTAGAAACGAAGTTTATCTGGAACAAAGTTTTGACACGAAGGTAGATCCATCGTCATTAGTACAATGCTTTGATTACTGCTGCTATCCATTTGTTAATAGTGAAGCTTCTAACTTGAACATTTTCGACTTGCAAGATGATGTCTTAGTTGTCGAATGTTCATTGGCTATATCTTTCCCAGTCACAAAAACTATATCGACTTATGTGATGAGTGACAGTGAAGAATATGCAGGTATGAATCCATTTCCTCCACTGATTAACTAAAGAAATTGCCTAGAAATATAACTCATCTTGAATGTTTAATGATTATAACTTTGAGAGTACCAAAACTATATCTTAAGGAGTCACAAAACTGTATCGACTTATGTGGTAATTGCCTAACTCATTTTGAATGTTCAATGACTATATCTAAAAGAGACACAAAACTATATCGACTTATGTGGTAATTGCCTAACTCATTTTGAATGTTCAATGACTATATCTTAAAGAGTCACAAAACTATATCGACTTATGCTTCAATTGCCTAACTCATCTTGATTGTTCAATGACTATATGTTTCTAAGTCGTAAGAGCTAAATCGACTTATGTGATGAGTGACAGTGTCGAATATGCATATATCACAACATTAAATTTTTTAAATGTCATTTTTTTTCTTTGATTTCTGTAAAGTATATGATGTTGTCTTTAGATTTAAGCATTAACTGTTCAAAACTTCCTTTAAATACATAGTAAACGAAAGAAACTTCTTCTGAAATTATTTCTCTTAGTGTTTTTCAATTTACACTTTAAATTGAAAATGCTATAGGCATTCCAATGAAATCGAAATCGTGCGTATTTGTTTTTTCCTTATTTATCGGCTTCAATTTCAAATAATAATGTGCTAAAAACCTTCGTAAAATATTTACGTGTATGGATATACGGGTTTTACTAGTTTTAAAATAATAATATTTGTTTAATTATTCACTTTACATTAGTTCAATGGATTCAAGTTCAATGGATAGTTCAATGGATTCTTCATCATCTAAACACCGCCTTTTACATGAGGGCTACTTTCATAAGAAAAGTTCAAATATGTACTTTTTGCTTAGTGTGATCTTTCAATAGATTAATGGTATGATAAGAGAGTACCTTTTCAAAAATATTTAACAGCTATTAAAAGTACTAACTAACTATACTAACTAAAAAAAAGCTCTTTTGGGAACGTTGAAATTTTTTCTGTTCGTAATAATTAATAATGAAAATTTGAATTATAAAAGTTAAGTAAATTTCTATATGTACAATTTAGTAGAACTTTCTACACTAAGCGAATCTTAACTGCCTGAATAATATCAAAGCACATTTTAGTTTTATAGAAAATAATTATAAAAGATTAAATTACGAAAACTAAATAAAATCTTAAAGAAAAATAAAAAATAAAAATATTTAAAAAAAAACATATATTTTTTTTAAAAATTAAACATGCTACACAAAACATTTTCAGTCCCAAAATAAGTAATCGAATCAATGATTTAGTCAAACGCTTCTTTATTTCAAGGATGCAAAATTATTACAATTCTTGTGGTTTCATTTCGCATTAATTATAAATATTTAACAATTTAAAACAAAAGCAAGTATGTTTTTCTGAGCTTTAGGCATTCTCTATTATTTTAAGATAAAAATTGTGTTTTACATTTGAAGTAATTTAAATTATCTTACGTATTTCTTATAGCATATTTTCAACTCAGATTTTTTTTTTAAACGTATAGATAGTCAATAATTATCATTTATTATCTATAGCTCAGGTTTTCTAACTTTTCAGTTGCTTGGCACCTTGAAAAATAAAAATTTAATGCAAAGCGTTTAACCTTATCTCGTAGCTACATAGTATGGTGTGTTATGAGCACACATTGAAAGTTGTATATAGCACCCTTTTTCAAAAATTTATACTCATCGGGGGTGTAATTTAATATTTAAGTGAAAAAAGCAAAAAAATATATGGAATCATTAGTGGGGAAAGCCAGATGAGAAGGATCAAAACCAGTCTTATTGCCAAATGAAATTTGGAGGCCTTTTGTAGTAATCGCTTTTTAACGTCACTTTGTTTCCTTCAGCAATTAAACATGTTTCAGATATTCAGTTCCCCCTCCCTTTGAAGACGTTTTGTTTTTTGCCTCGATTAAATGTTATACAAGATTCCTAATCTTTTTCTTCTTTTTTTGCTTTACTTTTGACAAGAATTTGAATTCTAAAAATAATAAATAATAGCGGTCTTACATACGTGAAAGTAACGCATTAGTTAATTTAGCGATAAAGTAAAATTAGCGATACAATAGAAGATAGTTATTCACTTAAGCTTGCAGAACATTAGATTTTCTATTTTTTTTCTGCACTATATTTTCATTTGAAACAGAAAACACTTCTAAAAAAAAATAAAAAATTAAATTTTTTGTGCACTATATTCTCATTTAAAACAGAAAACAGTTGTAAAAAAATTAAAAAAAAATTTTTTTTAATGAAAATTTTCTTAAATTTTTTTGTGCACTATATTCTCATTTGAAACCGAAAACACTTGTAAAAAAATTTAAAAAAATTTTTTTTAATAAAAAATTTTCTAAAATTTTTTTCTGCACTATATTTTCATTTGAAACAGAAAACGCTTGTAAAGAAATTTAAAATAAATTGGGATGCTGCCCATCCATCAATTGTTATCGTACAACTGTTTAAAATATTTTCTTGGTTTCTTGAAACACGCTTATTATGAGAAGGATGGGATTGTTTTGATCTGTGCAATGGAATTCTACAGTGTGTTTCGCAATGACTACCCTTACAACCTATATTTAATATCCTTGTCAAAAATGTTTGCATGTTAAAGATTAGTGTATATATGTTAACTACGTATCGAAGATTAAATTTCACACATTAAGAATGCAATGTAATATTTCAGCAAAGAAATCTAAAACAAAAGCGCAATCAAAATCTGTCTGATGACTAATGAGGAAAACTGTATAAAACACAACAAAACCAGTTTGATTGTATTAAACTTGATAATATTTCTAAAAATCTCTTTTTAAGTTCTATTTGCTCCCTTTTGTAGTAGATAGCATTTTTGCTTTTTCCTCGCTTAAATAACAATTTGTACTATGTACAATTTGCTATTTTATATAGAGGTACCAAAAGACACATCATAATTGAAACAGGTACTCCATGTGTATATTTTTGGTCCTTGGATAAGCTGGTGGAAAGTGATATCACTTGATTAATTTAACACTCATGGTACAATAATTCGAAACATTAATTGTGGAGAAATAATTTTAAAAAATGAAATTGGAATTAAAAGAATGTTTCTTCGCACCACTTGGTGGATAGATTAAAATGGAAGCATTGTTTTTAATTCTATTTGATTAATAAGTCAATTTAACATTCTTTAAATTTAGAAAAGACTGTATAACGAACTAAATGAAAAATTTTCGGATGCTGGAAGAATAGGAATCCCATTGTTATTTTTAATAAAGTCAACACATTAAAGGAAGTTAACTTTAAGAGAGCTGTCATTCATTGGATATCGAATAGATAAGTCATCAGTACCAGAAGATAAATTAAAGTTCAAACCTTTATTATATCAGTTCTCGGAATAGATAAGATAGATATTATTTTGCCTAAAAATTAGAAGGTTATTCTGCTTTGATAAACTCCAACATTATTTAAAAGTGATATTCATCGAGCGCTTCCAATAAATATTTAAATGGGAAAATTTTTACCATGGATTCTTTTGACATCAAAATGGAAACAAGTCTGGTGACTGTTACCAAGAATATTTCTTGGACAATACAGAACGTATCAAAAGTAAGTGAACTTGAAAGCTCACCTTTTTCAGTGTTTGATAACTGCCCTTTTAAATGGGCTTTGCATTTGAAAATTAAAGAAGAAGAAGAAACAGTGTTGTATATTAAAAAGTTCGAATCAAAAGATTTACCTCCGTTAGAGGTTTTCGTAAACGGAACAATGTATTTCAAGAATTACAGGAATGAACTTTTATATGAAGAGGATTTCGACTTAAAAATAGACACAGATCCCAAAATGTGCATCTACAAACCATATCTATTTCCTAAAGACTGTGAAGAGCGAAATGAAGTTTTCTATCCACCAGGTGGCGTGTTAATTACAGAGGGCAAAATGAGTTTTTCTCGATATGTAACAAGAATGCTAACACCAGTTAAGGATGAAGAAAAGAAGATGCCGGATGAAAGAAGCCGGATGAAATTCCCGAAGAATGTGCCGGATGTAATCCAAAGTAGAATTATTGCCAATGTTTTCAGTTAAAGATTACTATTGGAAGCCTGTTTCCAGATCTATTCAGCCAATTTCCCCCTCCGATCAATTTCAAATCTGATTCAACAGAATCAAAGCCATCGTAATTTCGGCCTTCCTTTTCTCCTGCTTGTAAAAGGTTTCGTATCAAAGACTTTGACTGGATATTTTCCCCTATTCTATCAAAATAATCCTTGTTAATACCTTTAACGGTATAGGACACTTCAAAAATTCTATAAATTTCTAAATGAAAACGATTCTTTGTACTGTTGTCTTCTGACAGATTCAATAGGAAAAGTAATTTATATGTAGAGTTCTAAAATAGAAGCTTTTCAAGGAAGAAGAGCCTTATTTTTATTGCACTTCAAAAATGAAGCACTCTTTAATTATAAAATGCAAGTTGAAATAGTGTAAAAAAAATAATAATTAGTTATAATTACGCCATTATTATTAATAATAATATAAAAATAATAATTATCATATACCATCATTTGTTAAGAATAAAATCACATACTTAATTTCAATGCTTTAAACGCCTTAGAAACTGAGAGCTCAGTTAAATTTCGAACATTTGCGGGACTAGATTTTACCTTTTCTAATGTTCGTAAGACTTAATCAGTCAGTTCCAAAATTTGAAAAAATATTGGCAAAATAAAAAAAAATTGAAATTAAATAGAACATTACATTGTTATAGCCGGTATTTACCTTTATAATGTGAATTTTAACCCTTTCACTTATTTAAAAGAATTGCTTAAACAGTTATAGTTTTATAATTCATTCCAAGGAATCAAAAACGCCCCTTTTGACGAATGATTATTTTCCTATCAAAATGATGATTTTCATAGAACTATTCTTTAACATTCTATCATGTAAAACGTATTACCGATAAGAGATGAACTGCCGATTCTTAAGCTCTTTACAGTCTCAATCACGTTTCGAGGACAAGAGGATGATACTTGTACATTGTGACTATTTGTGTTTGATTACAAAATAGAAACAGCATCTACAAAGTACTCAAAAAGGTTTATATGAACCATTAATAACTATAAAGATTTGCCAGATAAATTTGAATTCCCACTTTTTGAACCTTTGAATATATGGACATTATGTGTTGATTTTCAAAAATGCGATAATGCAGCGTTTCATATTAAAAGCTTTCCCACCGGTGGCTCTGTATCCGATGCAAGAATAAAAGGAATAATATTTGTTGGTGTAAAATCTGTTCATCGGCAAATCTGCTGCTGAATTTGTTTCCTTATACAATTTTTTTTAATTATAACCACTCGATTGATACGATAACTACAGGATGTAATATGGTTGTATTTTTACCGATTTCTACCATTGAATCAAGTGTAACGTACTCTGACATTCTTAATGTTACTTTGATTGTGTTTTTTGCGCTATGTTTATTAGTTTTGATTAAAAAGTAAAAATTAATATTTCATCTGCACTGTAAAAAAGTTGTTAAATTTACAGAAAAAGCTGTCTGCTGGTGTTCTAAGTAAAGAACCGCTGATTTTTCAGAAAAATAGTGTTATTAAAAAAATGGGCGCCCGTCTTTTAAGTTGATAAGTAATGTTATTTTTACAAATAAGCTCTGTTATTTTAACTGAAAAATTTTGTTGCTTCAATAAAATCTGTTACTTTACACAAAGATTTGATGCAATAGCTATGATTGTGGTTCAACTGAGCCGAGAGCAGAATTTTTGTATAACCTGTCTAGGCCGGGATTCGAAACGTTTGTCATCTCCTTGGAGGGCAAGCTCGCTGTCCCCTGAGCTACAACAGCTCTAATGATTGGCCATGAAGAAAAATCTTAAACTGTTTTTATCTTAAAAGACTCATTGAAATCATATTTAGAAATAAAAAAGTTTATAACTATGATGGCCCACCCTTATGAAAATATCTGAAAATTTGATTTACATAAAAATTATATCTAAAAACAAGTAATAAAGTAAAGTATTAATTTAACGATAAATTCGAATTTATTGTTAAATTTTATTAATATTAAAATTTATTCATACAATAAATATTATTTATACAATGTTCAAAACTATAAAATAATTGTTAAAAAGTAAAAACAAGTACAAAAAATAATCTTAAGATGATTTGAAAAAAGGTAAAGTTAACTTACGGTATGCAAAACAACATGGCAAAAACTAAAATTTGAACTGACAGTTTAAATCCGCTTATGAATAGGGTGAAAAACTGAGAAAAAATGCTTTGCAAGAAACAGCTTCCGAGTTTTTTTATTTATTTATCATAATTATTATTATTTTCATTTTTTTTGCAGTGAGGGAATTTCTTGCTAAGGGTGTATGACGATTAAAAACTGAAAAAAATTGGTATTTATCTTTTAGCAGTTTTTTTCTGAGAAAAAACAATTTTTGCTTTCTGTAGAATTTACAGCTATTCTTTACAGTATAGATTATCGTTTTAACTCTAAAAATGAAAGTTTTAAACATGAGATTACTTCCCCGTGAAGATAATAATTCTCTGAAAATCATTCTTTTACATTTTATCATCTAAAACTCTTTACCGATAAGAACTAAACTGTCATTTCAATTGTTCCTTACAATTTTAATCACGTTCCGTGGAACGAAAGATTGCAGGTGTACAATGGGATTGCCTGTTTATGATTGCAAAGTGGGAATCACCACGGTAAAGTATTCAAAAAAGTTCAAATGGACTATAAAAAGTTATAAAGATTTGCCAAATGAATTTGAACTCCCGTCTTTTGAACCATTGTCCGGATATAGATGGTCATTAGATGCTGATTTCACAAATTGTGATGAGGCATTTTTTAGTATTAAAAGCTATTTAACCAATGTCTATATGCCTAATGCAGGAATTAAAGGAGCAGTTTTTGTAAAAACCCATAATGAAGATACCATCATGAGAAAAGAATTTAATATGGTTGTGCACCAAGATGCTATTAGTGAATTTTTTTCTTTCTCCAAAAACCTGATTAATCACTATATGCTTGATACAATAATCATCGAATGTGATATGGAAATATATGTACCTATTTCTACTACAGCAAACGGTGTAAACATAAGGGTTTCTGGTGTGGACATAATTTTGACAGTTTTTATTGTATTGGGTATCTTGTACTATGTTTATTTTGTGCGGGTTTGATTAAAAAGTGAAAGTTTTAAATTCATCTGGTTTAAATGTGATAACTTAGTAAACAGACTGATATGTGATGGATGTTTAAGATTAGATGTAATTACTAAGTAATGACTCGTCAAAAAATTTCTTTCTGATGAAATTATAATTATTGCTGTTTCAAATAAAATAGAACATTGTGAGATTCATTCACATTGAAATTAAAAACAGTTTAAGTTTAATATCATCTTCAATGTTATCAATAAATGTTGAAACTTTCATGATATAGTTTGAAATAAAAAAGCGCTGCTTATTTTTACTATGAAATTTACAGACACAATTTTTTTCCTAGTTTAATAATACTATTTTTTATTTTGTATATATTGTTTATAAATATTGTTATTATTGTATTTTTATTTTTCTGATATATTAATATTTTGATATTTCAATAACATTAACTTTCAATAATAGCATGGCTGGCATGCTAAAGTATTTTTATTTTTAGTATTTTTGAATAATACTGTTCCTTAGCAATGTTTTCAGATAGGTACTTTTGAAGTTTCTGAAAAAATTCCAAAACTTATATCCTATTGCCAATATAAAAAAGGTGTCCAACCAAAAAGCTTATGAAAATCGCTGTCTTAAGCAATTTTGGAACTGTGTTATTTAATTATTTTGTATATAGCACTTAATTCCTCATATTCGTTACAGAATTACAAATGAAAGGTTTTCGTCTCCCAATGCAAAACTGAGTGCTTTTGCAGTTTGTCTGGCATTTGCTGTAAGTCAATCGTTTTTTTTTCCTCTTTTTTTTTTCGACTTACAAAATATCTTTGTATTTCTCACAGAGAAAGTATCGTCCAAACTGCAGAATATGGTAAAATTTACTGGGAACACCACAAAAATGCGGTTCTTATTATTAAATTTATGTTGGAATTACTTACTAAGTAATTTTACATTACTGGTCACTATATATGTGATTTATGTAACTAACAAAAACTAACAGTTGAGCCGAAGAATACATTCTTTTTACTTTTAATTTATACTTCCTAAAGAACTTATATGATCTATGTAATTACCAATTTCTGTTATTTAGCAAGATTAAACGTTTTCTACACTCTTTTGACATTGAAAGCTCACGTCAACTGCATATTTTTTAATAATTTATATTATTGATCCAAGTTTGTAAACTTAGATCATTTCTGGTTCATAAACTTGGATCAATAAATTTAGGAGAACAATATATCGTTCTCCTGATTTCCTATTTTTTTATTAAGTTGTTCATTGTTTCGTATGTTGTTGCAAAAAAACGGAATTATTCCCTTGATATGCTTTGTTGTATGATAATTTAATGAAAATATCTCAATTGTTTCAGTTACAGTTCATAAAAATGATGATTATTGCTATTAATTTAAAATTTGAGATTTTATTCCTGACCAATATTGACTGGGATAAAATTTTTATTTATACCAGTTCGCTGAATTGAAATTAATTTAAAATGTAATAATTATTGTTATCTTCCATAAAAAGAAATGGGGGAAAACTATAATATTTTTTTTAATAACATAAAAGAAAGTTTGAAAATATTTCTTCTACGATTATATTCAATTTTAAACAAAAAATTCATGTTGCACTTTATTTAACATACTGAATTTTATTTTATTGTACTGTTAATTAATTTTTTGGTATCTATTTATTTTTGTATCATTTTAATATTCTTTTGTAAAAACATAAATTTTCCATAGAATAAAACAGCACTGGAATTTTTAATTCATTGATGATTTATTTAAATATTATATCTTCGATTCATATTTAATGATTCCTTTAAATGTCATATTTTCGATTCATATTTATTGATACATTTAAATGTTTTACTTATGGCAAACATATAGTTGTATCGCATTCATTTCCATCCGAATATCAATTGTGTATAAGTCATAAAAAGTTTGTATTCGTCTTGTATGTCAGAGGAAACAATTTCATGACAAATTTTTTTATGAAGTTTCACAATGATAAGCAGGTCATAGAAAAATATTGTAAAATTTTATGAAGTTTCACAATGATAAGCAGGTCATAGAAACAGATTGTAAGTAGGTCATATAACGTCTGCAATTGAGATAATCTGCATAAAATACAATAAATTGGCAGAAATTAAAATGAACATGAATGAGCATAAAAATATTTTGATACGTAACTGCAAATAAACAGAAAGAATAACAATAAAACTACAGGTAAGAAAAGAACTAAGATGTTTTAGCATTAATTACAATGGCAACGTTCGTTGTATTAATATAGATAAATATAATAATCAAATAATTGATAATGTTATTTTTGTTTCTTTTCTTAAACTTATTTTAAGAAGTATATTAAAATCAGTTAGTGTCGAAAATTTATAATTTTTAAATTATACTTCATATCTGAAAATCTTTAAGAAAACTTTAACTTACTTGTTTTAAGAGAGAATGTTATTTTTTAGGGAAGTATTTATTTATCCTTGTGTACCCAAAGTACACTATTCTAAGGAAATGTAAGGTCACATTTTTTCCAAAAATGACGTTTTTATAAACTGTTCTTTAGTACTGTTTCCAGTTCAATACCTTTTTCAAGAATTACGATATTTGGTAGTACAATACACAGAAATCAGTAATTGCTGAAGTTTATACCAAATACACTTTGATAAGAAGCTTTTCTCAACAGTTTGAAAATGTGATTTATCATTATATTATTCCAAATATATTAATAATTATCTACTATTTTATAAATTATCATACAAATTATTATATACAACATTATATAAATAAAATTATATCAATTAAATTATATAAATTGCATTATATAAATTTAATAAAAAATTTTTAAGCCGAATTCATAACTCTTCTTATATAAAACTCTTATTACATAAAACTCTTATTATTTTTAACTCTTGTTATATGAATTTAATATACATTAAGTCGATTAAAAAATTACGTATTTAAATACTATTTAAAATAATGAAACAAAAATGACACATCAATACATTTTTTCATTAATATTTCGTAGGAATTACATAAAATAACTATAGTTAAAGAAGAACTGGTAATTAAAAATATTTTAATCTGAAAACAGGGTATTTTTTGTATAAATTTAGAAGAAAAGCTTTCATTAAAACTATTAAATTTTTTGACTGAAAAATTAAAATGTTTAAGCAGAAAAAAGCAATGAATAAAATTATAATCAATATCAAGTTTAAACATACTCGAACAAACTTAATCATGAGAAAAGAAGTTCACAGTTTGATAAGTCCATTATCTTTTTTTATTTCAAAGTACACATCCTATCTTATCTTCCTAGATTATTACTAAAAATATATTCTTTAAGAATCCACATCTTTAAAAACGTGGAAAGTATTATACCGTTCAAAATGAATTTCGATTACGAAATGGAGCTAAAGCCAGTGTTACACACAAAATCATTCAAATGGACTATAAAAAACTACAAAAAGTTAACTCACCGTTTTGAAATCGCTAATTTTGAACCTTTAGTTGGACTGAAATGGTTGTTGCGGGCTGAATTTGATGGCTACGGTTTAATTTTTCATATAAAAGCTAACGAATCTTTTCATGATGTTAAAATTGAAGGAACGCGTTGTTTTAAGAACTCTAACGGTGATTACCATAGGGAGGAAAAATTTAGCAGCGAAGTATATCGAAATGTTCTAACTGAATTCTCAAGTATTCCCAAAAATTCTCTGGACAAGTATTTTATTGATGGCACTATAATCATAGAATGTGATATGTCTATCTTTGTACCAGTCAGATCTGTCTTGAACTACTAAGAGTTGTCTCCTATTGTTGGCAGGTCTATGTTGAAAAAGAATTAGTTCCACGTCATTGTTGGTCTGGTAGGTACATGTTGAAGAAGCGTGGATTATTTGTTGCTGTTTGTTGGTCATTGTTAAAATTGCTACTTGTAGCAGGCCTATGTTGAAAAATTATGAATCATCGTTATTGTTGGAAGGTTTGTAAAGAAATATCTTTAATTATTCTTATTGTTGGAAGGTCTGTAAAGAAATATCTTTAATTATTCTTATTGTTGGAAAGTCTGTGTTGAAAAATCAGAAAATATTATTACTGTGTGAAGGTCTATGTAGAAAAATCCTGAATTATTGTTATTGTTGAAAGGTCTGCTTTGTTGAAAAATCATGAATTATTGTTATTGTTGGAAGTTCTATGTTGAAAAGTCTTGAACTGTAAATGAGAAAAGCAAAACGTCAAAATTAAATGCATATGAATGTTTGCTATACATTACATAATGAAGACTTCTTGACTAGAAAATCATGTTTCTAAACATTATTGCACATTAATCAGAATTGCAGAATCTGTAAGTTTAAGTTTTTTTTAGTTCAGTTAAACAACTTTTGTGTGACTGAACTTCAAATAATTGATTGTGTACTTTTTGTGATCTTATGGATGAGGAAAAAATAAAACTTTACTGTGCAAATCTAGAGATAATTTTTTTAAAATTTTAGTTCAGTTATTCTACTCATCTATTCCACTCTTCAATTATTTTACTCGAATAATACAAATAATCATAAAAAATTCACAAATTAGTCCTTTCGCTAAATCTATATATCAGGTACTTAGCAGGCAAATAAGAACTTTTTAAATATTTTCTAAAATTACTTCTCAGCATATAAAAGTATTTTTTCAAAATGTGATGCTTATATTTTAATATTAAACTATTTTCAAATGAATCCCGTGTTACAAATAATTACAAAAAGTTTAAAAACTGTCCGCGAAGCTTTATATAGTAATTTGCGTGTTTTGATCAAAATAAGAGTTTTTTTCTGAAAAAAAGTACGATAATTACTTCCAGACATATATGGTCATTTTTGGAAAATATAACGTCCATATTTTAATATGAAACAAATTTCAAATGAATCCCATTTTTTAAATAATTATAAACAATTCACGTATCGCCTGTCCTACATAAGATGTAGGTCCTGTGCCTTGCATATTCAGAAAAAAAAGATGAACTTTTAACAAACATTTCTGGTACTTTTAGTCATACAAGGGTATTTTCGTAAGTTATGACTTTTATATTTTAACGTAAAACCAGTTTCAAATTATTCTAAAAATTTAACGAATTGTCAATTCACATCTCACAGCTATTTGCTTTGAGTGTTTTGGAAAAAATACGAATTTTTTAAAATCTATTTATTAATTATTTCCATACATATACAAAAATGTTTGTAAAAATAGCCCTCATATTATTTCAATATGAAACAAGTTTGAAATGAATTCCGGATTGAAAAAAAAATTGTAAAAAATTCACAAATCCATCTTTAAGTTAATGTTATATGTCCTGTACTTTACTTATGCACACATGAAAAAAAATTTAAAACTCTTGAGTACTTCCGGACCTACATGAGCATTTTCGTCAATTATGAATTTTATATTTTAATGCAAAACAAATTTAAAGCAAATAGCGTGTTGCAGATAATTTCTAAAAATTCATAAATTTTGCATGTTTTGGTTTAAACTATCTGTTCTGTTCTTTGTATGTTTGGGATAAATAAGAAATTTTTAAAACTTCTTTATAAGTGTTTCGATACATACATTGAAAAATTTAGAAAATATGACTCCCATATTTTAATATAAAATAAGTTTCAAGTAATTATAATATAAATTATAATTATAATTATAATAAATTATATTTCATGTAATTATAAAAAAAAATCACAAATTATCCATCCTTTTTGCACAAGCTGAGCGTTTTGTACTTTGCGTGTTCAAGACAAGAAAAAAATTATTTTTTATGAATTTTTTGAAAGGTACAGTAAGATTTGTATGATTATTTATGAAAAAATATTTATGAAAATTATGAATGAAACTCATATAAAAATATAAAATAAGCTTATAGTGAATTACGTGTGGCAAATATTTTTAATAAATTCACAAATTGTCTATCTTTGTGTTAAAGCTATATGTCCTATTGTACTTTGCCTGTTTCGAACAAAATAAGAATTTTTACTTAATGAAAATTTTTTATATTATTTTTATAATTTATTTCATTATTATATTATATTATTAAAAATGTTATAAAACAATTGCTAGACATAAGAAGGTATTTTCTGACGACTTTTATCTATTTAAATATACAAGCTTTTCAGAATTCAATTTCTCAAAAAAATATTTGACTAGCTTTGTTCAAATTTTGTATTTTGCCATTTAAAATTGCATTATTTAAAATGATATGAAACAAAATTATATACCTTACTATTAAATTTTTTTGTGACTATTATTAAATAAAATAATGAAAATTTTAAATATTTACGGATATTTTATTTAAAAGTGAGGGGGAGGAACCCTCTCATATTAAGCTTAGGACAACTATGACAAAATCAAGCAAGCATTTATTACCAACTGAAACATAACAATAAGATAAAAACAGAAAAGTAAAAGATGAGTGTGAGTGTGCTCAGAGCAATAAATGTTCGAAGTTTCGAAACACTAAAGAAAGGTACAAGGTTGCCGATCCTGTGTCCGTCATCTAGCTGATTCCTTTGGCGACTACTCACCATGCCTGGCGCCACAAAAGAATTATAAATATTTTGCATTGAATTATCTTTGGATAAATGAATTTCATAAATGTGTGTAAAAGTTTTTCAATTCGTTTAAAAAGTTCTCAAGATGTGGTGAAATACGCAAAAAGCAATATTAATATCAAGTAGTCAAAAGTTTGTGTCTCTTCCTGACAAAACTATTGTGGGATTATATTTCCCAAATTGCGGCTATCCCCTATATTTAAAAGGGTCAGAAATCCGAATTCCTCGAGAAAATGTACATTTATTCAGAGAAAGTATATTTATATGTGTGACCTCGTTACTTATAATATCGTCAGCTCTAATTATTTAACATAAATAAGTCATCCTTCAAATCATTAATATTGAATCCCGATCAAATATTCAAGATGGTCTGTTTTGGATTTTGCTCACTCAACATAATTTTATAATGCAATCATAATGGATCTTGTAGAAGATCTTAAAAATGCAAATTTAGTTGTAAAAAGGGCAATTTAAGTAAAGAAATCAGGCTCAAAAACGTTTCCTTTTCAAATAAGCGTATATTTTTGCTGATGAATATGATTTTTTGATTCTTAAAGTATGTGTCCATATTTTTCAAGCAATAGTTATCAATAACTTCATTAGAAATCATGTTTTTCACTTAATTTATCCAAAGAATTATTTATAATTAATTAAATAATAAAAGAATTAGAAATAATAATAATAATTAATAAAAGAATTAATTATAATTAATTAAATAATAAAAGAATTAAAAATAATTATAATAATTAATAAAAGAATTATTTATAATTAATTAAATAATAAACTAATTAAAAATAATAATTAATAAAAGAATTATTTATAATTAATAATTACTAATAATTAATTATAATGAATTATTATTTTTTTATTTAATGAGAAATTAAAGATAAAATAGCGCTTAATAAGCAATACATATCCTTTTTATAAAATGAAACAAAACTTTCAGAAAAAATGATTGTTTTGCGTTTATCATCCAAAATGTATGCGTTTTCCGCCTCTACCGATAAGATATGAATTGCTCTTTACTTACCTTTTTCCTTTTTCATTCAACTTAAAAATATTAAACCTGTCAGATGGCGTCTGAGTTTGACTACAAAGTGATGATAGAACCGGAAAAGCACTTAAAAAAATTTGGATGGACTATTCATAATTATAAAAATTTGCCACGGAAATTTAAATTCCCTCCTTTTGAACCTTTATTGGGAATTAAATGGTCTCTGTGGGCTGACTTTCAAGATTCTGATAATGTAGTTTTTCGAATAAAAAGCTTAGAAAGTAATGATTCTATGTCTGTTATACGAATTGAAGGAACACTTTGCTTTAAGACGCGTAAAAATGACATCGTCATGAAAAAAGAATTTAACAGTGATGTGCATCGATATTCAGTAACTGACTTTTTCTCGTTTCCTAAAGAGGTTTTGGACCTACATTTTCCTGATGGTACAATAATAATCGAATGTGCGATGACTATCTTTTTACCAATTTGTACTATTGAACCTACTACACTGAAGCTAAATGACAGCGAAGAATTCAGCTGGGGCCTATTAGATTGAAAGGAATACACCAAAATAATCAATCGATTAGTAAGCTCTCACCTTTTGAGTCTGGTAGGTTTTAATTGGCCTTTTGTGTTGCTTCTTAACGCTTAGGTAATGACGTTTTTCGCTTCGAAACTATGGAAACTGAGAATAGATTTACTGAACGGAATTCGTTTCGTTCAATAAAATTTCTTTGAGTGATTGTTTCATGAAACAATAATTATAGAATATTAGATGGCTATATATTTCTCAAACTGTAGCCTCGATCCAACTACACAGGAACCTAATGCTTCTGAAAAAGATAACTGAGGCCTATTAGACTGAAAAGAACTTTAAAATTATTGAATGGATGCATTATAAGCTCTCAACTTTTGTCTTAATTTACACTTAAATGACCTGTACTTGCTGCCTTTTAATGTTTGGATAATACAGTTTTTTTAATATAATAAGTTTAGAAACTGAGAATCCATTTGCTTAATCGAAATATTTTCCATCTCATAATGTTTTACAGAATTGTTATTTCTTAGATAATATAATAAGTCATAGAATATGGTATGTTTAAATTTCTTCTTCTTCTGCAGATGTGATTATACAAGAGTTAATTGTCAACAAAGTTTTAATTGAGTTCAATTAATATATTCGGGTCTGATTTCGTAATTTAAAATATCGTCTACCCTTATTAATTGGAATAGATATGGTTTGGCTCCTGAACCATTAAAATTGAATCTAAATATTCTTAATTATTTGAATAAAATTGAATTTTAGTATTCTTAATCTTAGTATTGAATTGTGAAAATTCGAATATTAGATGAAAAGTTATTTAAGGTGATAACTTTTTTAACTTACACACTATAAATTAAAATGAATTAAGAAAATTTCGTAGTTTTACAATAAACTAAAATATACTTGTAGAATATAATATTTTCTGTATTTAAAAGATTACACAAAATTATAACACATCCACTAATTATAAAAGATATCGAAATTATTAAAAATTATTCAAATATTTTACTTTGAGACATGCTTTTAGGTAGCTTTGCTTTGGGACATACTTTACTGCACCGAAGAGCAATCTCCAGTCTTTACACTGTAAAAAATCCCGGATAAAATTACGGTGAAATTCTATACCGTAATTTTTACAGTAATATTAATTTACTTGCAGTGACGTAGAAAGTATTAATGTAAAAATTACGGAATGTCAGATTTTTTGTTTCGTAAAATTTTATAGTGAAAAGTGCTGAGTAAAAGTACTGTTTCAAGATTCGTATCTGACGATGACGTGAAAAAGTCGTATACAGACATTTTGAAGCAGTGACCAAAGGAGCTTTATGAAAATGGATGAAGGCAATTAGTTTCTCTGTGGGGTAAATATCTAAGTGCCTATGGAGATTGTTTTTAAGTAAAATACTCCGTTTGTCGCATATTCGTACTGGTTCACTTTCATTTGTCGCACTCTCTTAATTAATTAAACTATCATTATTTTCTCGTTATATTAGCATTTAAAAAATATTCTATCAGAAACCAACTACAATTCAGTTGAGCAATGTTTCAGGTTCCCATTCTGAAAATAAAGAATAATTACCAAAAAAAAAAGAACTTTTAAAAAATAAAAATAAAAAAAATACTCACTGTAAAAAAAAATTGAATAAAATTACGGCAAAAAAGTACCGACATTTTTACAGGAATATTTTACGGAACAAAATTTTGATAAACCAGAATTTTTGCAGTAATAATTACCCTAAAATCACTGAATCACTCTAATGAAATAAATATTACAGTAAAAATTGAGGTGCAATTATTCAACAATGAAAATTGATTTTACCGTAATTTTTAAAGCAATAATTACATAAAAAAATCGCTGAATCATTTTACTGAATTAAATATTACTGTAAAAAGTACGGTATAATATTTTATGGTAAAAATGGATTTAACAGTAAAATAAATAATGGATTTTTCAAAATGAATTTTATGGTTGATGCACCCAAAGTGAACTACACCAAACTACTTTATACCGTAATATGATTCTGAATTTTTTATGGTGTATTTACTGATAAAATTGTCTTGATGAAAAATTCGGGGAAGAATTTAATATCTTAATTGAATTAACGTATAATAAGTTATTGCTAATTGAAAGTTAAAATTTTCAGAATTATGGTAAATTTTGCCAGAATTTTAAAAGTTGCATGAAAGTGAAGATTTATATGAATTTATATATATATTTTTGAATATAACTTGGAAGTTAAATATAATTTTGAATTATTTAGTTGTAGTGGTTTGCATAATGATTTTAATAAAATTTATTAATCTAATGATTATGCATTAAAATATACATTTTATTATCACGTACATAGCTCTCCATACGGAGCAAGTTGGTATCTCTATTTACCATTTAGGAAATAAAATTTAAAATCTAGCTTTTAAGATTAATCTAACGTTAAAATATATCATACGTGTAAGTTATTTACTTTATTTCTAACTAAATCCTATAGATTACTTGTATGTAATTATAATTGCGTGGATCTTTAAAAATATATGTAACAAAAAAGAAATTATAAAACTATGCTCCTATGGAGGCAGAAACACTAAAAATTTTATCATATTCATATGTGGTAGTTCTGACAATATAGGTGTATTCAATATAAATTGAAATAACAACAATCTCGAGTTCTTGACCTGCTCTACTTCTTGTTAGAAAGTATACAGCTGCTTAGAAGAGTTTATTCTGCGGAGCAATATTTTCAAACAGATAATTTGCTTTTTCAAAAAAAAAAAACAAATACATTAGAGGACTTCTGAGCTCAAATCTGCTGTATTTCATAAAATATTAATGATATTAAGCAACTCTGGAGAGATTGAAGTGAAAATTTGTTTCAGTTATTTATAAACGCATTTTTAAGAAAGGTAACATAATTTCTAGAAGTCGTGATTAAGCCACTTTTTACTTATTTATTACAGTTAATTCTTGCTGCACCATCATGTCCAAGCAGTGAAATTAAGTTCATTTTTTAATTTATCATTTGGAGTTTAAATTTAGAAGTTGGCTGCTGACAAGGTAGGGAGTGTTTATAACGATTCTGTTTTTCGAAAAACACACTCTGATCACGCTGAGAGTCAAATACCGTGGAAATGTACCTGAAAGACTAACCCGGAAATATACGTGGTAAAGAGCTTGTAGTGCACCTCGGTGTAGAAAACATTATCAATTCCTACCCCCCCCCCCGCCTCTTGCGATGTTATTAAGATTGGTGGAGGAAAATATTAGAGACAATTCTCACTGCACGTAATTCTCGCAACTCCAATCACCACTGAGAGAAAAGGAGAGCCTGATTGGCGCGTTTATGCAGGAAAATACATTCAGATTCCGATATTGTCTTGACGGTGATTGGAACTTTCGTGAATCATAAGCAAAGAGAACGGCCCTTACCCACCAAGAAATCACCAATCATGTTATCGTTTGCAGGTGAAAGTATTCGAAAAGTTGTTCTAAATAAGAATGAACCTTTTGAATGAGAATTTGCTGATATTTCACACCAATCAAGTTCTCATTATCATCTTATAAGACGGGTATGTGAATTTTTTCATACAGTGAGGATGGTTCTCTAAACACGCTCAAGTAATCAAGCAAAGCCTAAAGCAGAGATGATATTAAAATTACACACATAGAGGGTTAATTCTGAATAATAGGCATTCAGAAGCAGAAATAGGCATTCAAAAGCAAAATAAATAAACAAAATTTCTCCTGCGTGAAAATTTATTACTGTTAATAATTTCATCTGTTTAAGCATATTTTTTGTTTGCTTACGAATTAATCCCTGCACTTTGCTGATTTTATTTTACGTATATATTTATTTCAGCTTTTTTCTCCCTTTTGTCGTTAAAAGTGTTAATTTAAATTGGCTACGAGATGAGTCTATATTTTTTTAAATAACTGAAATAAATAATTATCTGGATATAAAGTTATTCATACGTGATATTTATTTAAATGTTGTACTAGTTATTATTACATTAGCAATGTTTTTATCTGTATGTTTGTTAAAAGTTCTTTGAATCATAATTTAAAAAAAAATCGTATCTACTGGTATATCTCAGAATTTAAATGAGTCTATATGATTAATATACATACTGCATAATATTTCTACACATTATTTAATCAATATAAAATAATTTATCCATAATATTTGATTACTTTACTGTTACAATCATTATATAGTTATAGTTTCCTAAGTATTTATTATAACTTCATTTTTCAGTGTTAATTGTGATAGTGTTTTCAAGAAGTTGATCTAATTGATTTAATCTGGCTATGAGATGAGTACCCATTTTACAGATTATTATTATTATATCACTACTTCATTATTCATACATGAGACATGCCATTTTGCCCATACATGCAGAATTTCACTCATTTAGAAGAAAGATTGCTTAATGGTATATCTTAAATTTATCACTTTCTAATATCGTATTTGTATCAAGTTTTTAAACCCATTGAGAAAGTAGAAAAATAATTGCTGAAAAGCGAACAAAAAACCACCCAAGTCTCTGATTGATTGTCCCGTAATGACCACTTTTAAGGTATATTTTCAGAATTCTTTCCTAAAAAGATGTTTAAAAAAACATAATAACCAATTTGATTGCCCAGTGAAACTTTAAGGTGTTTCTAATAATAAACTTTCTATACCTCTCAGTTTCCTGTAACAAACAGGTTTTGATGTTTTCAGCACTACTTTCCTTATGGTGATTCACTATGTTTCGATGGCATTTTTCTGTTATTAAATTTTACCACAAATTTTTAAACCATATTTTGTTATTAATTTTTCTAAAATCATTATCATGGCATATAGGTAAAAAATAGCAAGCTTTTTGATGTTCCCATGGAGCCAGGAACACGGTAAATTTTACCATATTGAAAAGTTTAAAAGAATTGACTTGTCTTATGTTTAGGAAAGCCTATCTATTCACAAAAATCTTCACCATATTCCTAACCTTTACAGTATTCATCCAGGGGACAAGTTTGGTGTCATGAAAAATTTAAATTAGTCTATATTTATTTTTTTTAATGTGACTTGTATTTTTCGATGTATTTCTAATTAAAAAAGTTTTTTGTATCATTTTTATTTTGAAGCTACAGCGTCACCTATGAACCAAAATGCAGCAACCTTTAATGCAAAGTTAGGTACTTTTTCCTGAAACATCCAAGTTTTTTTTTTTTTGTTCCATTTAATATTTTAAGTTATTACCCCACCCCTCTCCCAGTGAGTGAATGGTCACTTGTGCATTCTTAAGATTTTAGTTCAACATATATTTCTAAAGTTATTTGAACATTTCGATACATTTTGAACAATCCGTATACATATGTTTTTGCCATTATATTTTTATATTCCTCATAATTAACTTGTTCTTTTTTCTTTCTATTAGTTTCTGAATTTATACTAGCTGAACCCCCCTTTGCAGAATCACAGCGACATTGTCTAGGAGCGTTACAGATTTCTTGCTGAAAGATTTTGTTTTTGAAAAGTAAGAAATTATTCTTTTCTTTTTTATAGAAATTTACGCATACATGGGGTCAATTTTTACATTGGTTTTAAAATTGAACACCCACTGATCATAGGATTGATCTGAATATTTCTATGATTGTTTTAGCCTTCAAAATTAATTGTAATATGTTTTAGTGATATAGTTTTTAATTTCAACAAAATAAATATTTTCTCATAAGGAATTTTTTTTGTCTTGCATAATATTATGATAAATTGAAATAATAACATATATAAAATCTTTACAATTAAAATAAAAATGAAAATATAAATGTGTGTTTGCAGAACAGTACTTCATCAGGGGATCCCCTGATGAAGTACTGTTTTGCAAACACACGTTTATATTTTTATTTTAATTGTAAGGATTTTATATATGTCTTATTTCAATTTTATGTAAAACAAATTTGGCTTTAGCTGACTTGTGCACTTTTCCAATTTGATTTAATGTTTCAAAGTGTCTATTTACCTCTTATGTATCAAAATTGACCTCATAAATTGAATTGATTTTATGATTAGATTATAATAAATTGCTCATAGCTCAAATTATTTTATTTGAAAGTTCATGTCGGAGTATACAGTTTATGGTACTACTGATTCTGCATCATATTCTGAATGGCATGTCATAATCAATCATTTTTAAATTTAGCTGACTCCTGACTATACAGCCTCTCTACTATCTAGCTTAGTAAAATTAAGTTATGTTGAAACTGGTCTTTTGTAAAACTTACCATTGAGGTGAAGAAGCTTGTCGTTTGTACATTTTGATTCTTCCTAGTCATAACTTTTCACATTTGAGTAATCTATTAATGAACACTGAGTATTTTTGCGTTAATTATTTATCTCAAAATGTGTAAGATCTGTTTTTCATTCCAGAGAAACCTCGATCCACCATTCCTTCATCTTTCGTTTTTCCATCATTGCAGAGATGCCAACTGCTCCGGACACACTAAAATAATTAAACAAACGGTAAATAACTACAAAGTACATTTTGCAAATATTTGACTATTTTTGCTTGCTTTTTAAAAGGTATAGCATGACGTAAGTACTATAAAGTGGTGAATGGTATAAGCCTACAAATTATTTAGAAATAGTGGTGGATAAAAATCTTCTAAATTGAATTTATTAAACCAAGAATCACAATTGATAAACTACCACTTTAAAATATATATTTGCTGTCCGGAGCAAGTTGGAATCTCTGTCATTGTGTTTTAATGGTCCCTTCACAAATGCTGTTCTATTAATGTTAATAATACTCGTTTATTTCGTTTTTGAAACTATCAGATTCTCACATCTAGGTTCAAAAGTTCTACCAATATTAAAAAAAAAAAAATATTGTAAATGTTTCACTTTTCAAAGAGAAATAGTAACCCCTGATGCCAATGATGTACGCCATAATGATGATAAAAAAAGTAAAGATATAGTACAATTTGGAGAAAATGCCTTAAGTATCATGATTGATGTTTAATCATCAATTGATGAAAATGTTGAAACACTTATGTTGTTGGTTCAAAAAATGGTTGCAGAAGTTAAAAAAGTGCAAAGTGATAGTAATGAATGCAGAGAAGCAAAACCACAACCAGAGTTAACATTGGTGAAAGACCCCTACGTTTTTGAAACATTAAGGAATTTTCTTTTTTCACGCAAATTTTTGCAATATGTTACAAGTTTCGAAATCTTATCGACTGTGCTGAGAAAAAAAAAAAAAAAGAATTCAACCAAAGTTCAAACCAAAATTTTCAAATATTTTGAATGAATAAATGTTTATTCATATTTCATTTTGCACATAAATATTTTTGCAATAAGTACATAGTTACAGTTAAATTTTTTTTATCCGAATTATTAATTTATTACATAATTTTTAAATCAATAACTTTTCATGCTTTTGCTAGCCATTTTTTTTATTTTGATCCTTATTGGCCACTTTCTCATTTTTATCGTTTACATTGAAGTGCTCTATGAAAAATGATTGATCGAAGTTTTGCTGCATATCAAAGAGGTGATATTGGACTTCATTCTCTCCGTTTACTTTGCTATCCAGCCTAACATTTCCCCACACTTTACCAGATAGATGGGAGCTTACAGTGCACTCAAATTAAACCCGTTTTAAAGACTAACAAACTAAACAGGTTTTAAAGAAGAAAAAAATAGAGTTTTGACTTAATTTGACTTTTTTCACCTTGATAATTTTCGAAGCAAATGAAGTTTTTATGTTATCAAATATATTTTACTTCTTTTGTTTGTTGGGATTATACATATATACACTGCCACACTGGAAAAAATCTTAAATTTATCAGATTACACTATTGACTTTTATAGTTTTAATAAAAATAAATCACTTTAAAATTAAATAGATACATATTTATCTTATTTTAATCATTTGTCTTTCTTTAAGGTGGAATTAATGTTTTGGTAAGATATGCTGGTGCTTTTTCCATGTTATTTTTTATTGATTTGCGTATGAAAATTTCAAATTATGTTTCAAGTTTAATTCAAGCTAAAAGAGGCAAAGTTGTTTGGTTAATTTCTATCTTACTTTAACAACTTTGTCTTTAAATCATTATCTTTTCGCTTTTCTGTCTACGTCAGTAATTAACATCATTTTTAATTTTTACTTCTATTATTTTGTACTTATTAAATAAACAAATTTATTTAATCTAATATAATTATGAATATTTATGTAGGTGCATTCTGATGTGAAACTAATTTGTAATTAGAAGATATGAGCATTTTTTCTGTTCATTTCACCGGAAATAGAACTCTAATCCAAAGCCCATGAAGACGACTATGATAAATAATAAACAGGATCTGAATTCAAGTCTTCAGCTAGCATTTGAATAAATTCTAACGATGACCATTTAGGCTTAATAGTTTACCATTGCTGATCTGGATCTTATTATGCATATTAAGATCAATTCTGGTCAACTATTCAGCTAGTAATCTTATTGTATGGTTTGAAGTTGAAATATCTGCATTGCTCTGCTCTGTTGGGGATCATTTTAAATTGTAAACTGGAATCAGTGTAAGTTAATATAAATGTTTTGTTTTACTTCTTGCATTGTTTCTGTTTTACTTTATATCAGGATTGACAATTCATTCGGAAGAAGCCTATTTCTTCCAGGGCTCTGGAAGAAATCGAATAATATGGAGAAAAAAAACTAAAAATGATCAATCTAATTGTTTATAATGTAATAAAAGAAAAGCTTCAATTTAAATAAATTTTATATTGTATCAGAAAGTTAAAAGTTTTTTCTAATATGCGTTTCATTTAATAAAGAAAATTATTTTCACATTATTATTTTTTAGTTTTATTCAGAATTTTGAAATCTGTGTATCCTATTATTTAAGAGTGAGTTTGAGTATTCATGCTTAATATTTGATTATAAAATATAGTATGCTAATATGTATTTTTAGTAGTATATGATTTAGTATTTGATGCATATGTTTAGCATATGATTTACTTTTGATTACTATTATGACATGATTTGATAAATAATTTATAAATGTTAAAAAATTTAATTATGTTATTTTAACAGTTCTTTCTATAAATATGAAATTAAGTTTTGCTATACTCATTTAAATAAAATATTGGAAAACTTCAGTTTTAATTCCTAAAGAAATTCATCAAATTTGTTTGTTTATATGTTTTTGTTGTTGTTGCAGTTATTGCTTTTTAGTTCTCTCTTATTTAAGAAGGATATCTCAAATAGCTTGATAATTAATACTCTAATTTACACTAGATCACATTTATAAACTGTTTAAAAAAAACTGTTAAGACAGCTACCACTCTCATCAGACTAAGAACAAAACATCATAAAAACTTGAAAATCTCTGCAGATGGGACTAGAAAATATCAAAACTGTGGCAACTGTCTTAATGTGGAACTCGCACCATATCATGTTTTTAACTGCTCTGCAGTCGCTGGAGGCTTTCACCTCTTAAACTACCCTACAGAAGAATATTTATATGGATTTAATGCCATAGAGATAGTAAAGACTATTCAAGCACACCATGAGATATGATTCAATGGAGGATGCGACACCAACCGACCAAAAAAACTGTTAATATATGATTTTCTTTTCTTTTTGAAAAAAGTTTCTTCCATTTCTTTTATTTGAGTTGGAAGAACCTTTCTTCTGGGGTGGTTTTTTGTAAATTTTTCCTCTGTGGAAAAAACTTGTCATCGCTTTATATGAAATATTTTTTGACGGGGCAGTTTATGACATGCGTTATAGTGGAAAAGACTAGGGCTTCAAGTATGTCATTTGTGAATTACGGTGCAAATTAAATTTGTTAATAAGTATAGTTTTTAGATTTTTCTTTAATATACAATTTAAGTTTTTATTGAATACAATTTAAAGTCAGGGGACTTCGTTATTTCATCCGGAAAAGTTTTTGAAATGTTTGGGCTAAAAATCACTTTTTATTTTTTTAATGACCTAAAATAAAGTGCATCTACTTATTTTTTTTTTTTAAATTTAGGAATAGGACTTTTAACATAACTTTAACATTTATTGAGAAAAATAAGATTAGAAAAAATAAAAGCCAAAAAACTGTTTTTGTGCTGTAAAAAAAATCTTGTATTAAGAAGTATTTTGGATGCCATTTTTTAGTTGTTTTTTTTTATGTTGTAAAGCATAATACTTAGTGTTATGAGAAAAAAATTTGGATGATAAAAGTTGTTATTCCCTTGTTACAAACTTGTAAATTTTGAAAATAAGTAATAAGTCTTCAGCATTTATAAACTGTTTAAAAAAATGACTTAATTGCACAGAGTTAACTCTTTTTGTTCTAATGACTCTGAAGTTAAGAAAATTGGCTCATAAATAAAAAAGATATGGACAATTCAAAAAATGAGCCACCATCTGTAGTTGTGTCATTTTCTTCGACTGTTTCGAAATTCAAAATGGACTCCTAATTGCAGGTTTGGTGTGAAAATTCTGTACAAAATATTTTCATGAAAATCAGTGACAGGAAAACAACAAGATTCTTTTTTATTTTCTCGATTTCACTTGGAATGAACCAAATTTTTTTAATTTATTACATCCAGATTGGCAGGAAAAACAAAATTGACCACAATTCTTTAACTTTATTTGAGTAACAATTTGCTTTTTTTTTAAAAATGAATAAGTTAACAAAATCTTTTATTAATTTATTTGTTTGCATATAATTAATTTATTCAATCTTTTCTTTATTACTTTTTGTTAAGTCTTTACAGCTACTTCCCCTAGATGGCGTTAATTCAACACTGAGAAAAATTTCTTTTGCTGTTCTTGTTTTCATGTGCATTTAGTTGTCTTGTGCATTGTATCTTGTGTCATGTTTCTTTTTTAGATTCCTTTGTATCCCATCATACAACTCACTCTTTCTTCTCGGAATTTTAATTTTCTTTCTTCCCTTTTGTTTAAGTTGATTGTAATATTACTTAAATGCATGTTCAACTAGAAGGAAATAAAATTTAAAAATGTAGGAAATGTTCAATTATTATTTTGTTATTTATTTTATAAAGTAATTGATTTTATTTTTTCTCTCTCTGTATTTTATTAAAGTAATTAATATTATTGCTTTTCTATGGATTGTCATTTTTATAATTACCTTCATTTCTAATGAAACTTATTTTTCCAAACTTATCATATGGATATTGCAATTTTTAAAAAATTCTTCATGAGATGCAATTTACGATGTGGGTTCGACTCCAAAGATTTAATTACTGTCAATTGTGATGTCTTCACATATTGTTATATAAATTCAAGTTTCTTATTCAGTACTGACCACTGCGTATTGGTTTTATATAGTGTGTGTGTTAACCTAAACAATATTGTAAAAAAATTTAAAAACAGACTTTTGAATATATATATATATATATTCAATTTTAAGATCAGAAAGAGTTTTGTAAAACATAAATCATAGTAGTTTTTTTTCTTTAGTAAAAAAAAGGTATATTTTGAAATTCAGTATTTTTCTTAAATATTATGCTTCAATTTTTGTTGTCATACACAGTTGTTTATTAAAACCTTTCAAATTTAAATGAAAAATAAATTTAAATTTAAAAAAAAAATTATTACTGTTTAATGAATAAAAAGGACAAAGAGCAGTGGTTCTTCTAACATAGTCCACTGTATATACGCTGTTTGTTTATAAACGAAAAAAATCTCAGGGTTTTTTCAGTAAATATTATTAAAATTTTATAAATAAATTAATATTTTATCTTGTTACTTCAAGAGGTTTTTTCGAGGTCTTATTTTTCTAAATAAAGAAAATCTTAGAAGCAATGTTTTATTTTTCATTACAGCTAACTTCAACAAAATTATCATATTTTATTAAATCATGTGACATTTAGATTAAAAGAATCCATGGATCTGAATAAAATTATTATTTCCGCTTTTTTTTAAAATTTATAACTTTTTCTAAAAGAATAATTTTTAATTCTCGAAAGTAACATTAGAATAATTAAAGAATAATTTTTAATGCATTAACATAGTACAGTTGCTACATGCATTAGTTAGTATTCAATGTATATTACATTTGCTATTTAATATTCATTATATATACTATTTAACGTACAAAGATTTTCATAACATTATTACAATTCTTTTAATAAATCATTTTGGAAAGTGTTAAATAGAAATCTGTATAAGTTTCATGGAAAGATCATCTGCTTTGCTTAGCATCACTCTGCAAAAAAGTTGGGCACTTCACGATGATGTCTAAGATTTCCTTCAGATACTTAAAAACTCTTTAGTCTTTATAATTAGAATGGGAAAAGAGATTCCTTTTAAAACACAGAACTTAATATTGAAAGGTTATATTATGCATTAAAAAAAAGTTTAGAGGTTTGGTACCAAAATCAGCACAGTTTTTATGGTACTAAGCAAATGATAGATGTTTGGTCTATAACAGGGATGGGCAAACTATGGCCCGCCGGAAGATTTTATCCGGCCCTCGGATAGAATTTTTATTTGTCGATCAGTGGTAAATATGATCAATATACATCCATTTTCTTGTCGACTATGTTTAAAATTATCTATGTTTTTCCTTTTTTAACAAAGTACTGATGACATTTTTACTTTCTCTATTTTCGTTCTACAAAACATAAATTGATGGAAATAGTTAGCACAGACATCTTCAATTGGTAAAATGTTGAAAGCAGAAGCTCTTTATAGAATAGCCGTAGATTGGCTCCAACTAGCTTTTGTCTTTCTCGCGGAGCTGACTTATAGAATCTAATGTAGGTAAATTGTACTTCACATTTGGCAAACTGCTCATTTTACACTCCAAAGAGCGGACAATCTAACAATCATCTGAAGCAGTTGTTTCTAAATACGCTAAAGTTTTACAAATCATTACCAAAAGCTAGTTTCCAAAATTTAATATTTCATGCCCTGAAAATCAGTGCTATGTTTGCTTAATCTTATATATGTGAACAAGAGTTTTCAACTATGAACCTTAGAAAAAATCATTTCAGAAGTAGACTAACAGAAAAGCATTTAGCCTTGTTCCTACAAATAAGCACATCTCACTTCGAACCTTAATATAAGGAACTTTTAAAAATGAAATCGCAATTTCCTTAATCTCACTAAATATTTAAATTAAAACTTGTATATCGCTTTTTTTTTTTTTTTTTTTTTTTTTAATTTTGAAGTTTTTACTTGGCCTACCAAACATTTTTTTTTCTTGATTTTTGGCCCTTGACCAAAAAAGTTTGCCCATCTCTGGTCTATAATAATCCAAAAGCAAAATTAAATTTTATCTGAGTAAGATGTGTTCTTTTATAAACATTATAACATACAGTCGTGTTCATTTTGCAAATTTTGTATTTGTTCTCAGTGATTACTAAAACTAAAATTTGAAGGTCTAAGGGTAACCTTCAGACAGAAAAAGCATTTTACTTCTTCCATCCATGTTAACCTACGGAGAACCCAATTATTCGTCCAATTATTCTTGTCTATTTCATTTCTAAATACAGTAGGGAACCGATTATCCGGAACGATCGGGACCATTGCTATTCCGGATAACTGATTTTTCCGGTTTTCTGAATCGCTACAAAAA